ACTTATGTCAGACTGTATGCCTTCATCGTTGGTTTTATTTGATGGAAATTTTAACCAATTTATTTAACTAGAAGAATTCTTCTCCGTTATTATATTACATGGATTGGATATTTACTTTTTTTTTTTTTTTTCTTTGATGGGGTAGGGCGGTGGTTGATTGGTTTTTCTTATTCTTACCTTATGGCTTATAAGCTAATAGTTTTGCTTCTCAGTTCTGCACCAGAATTAATTGGTTTATTGTCAGAGCTGAATGCTGCACTTGAAGAGCTTGAAGGCAAAGTTAATCCAGTTTTAAGAAAGGTATGCTTGTTCTACTTGTTTTGTATTTCTATTTTCAAATAGAAGGGTAATAATATGCTTGATCTGCCACTGCATTTGGTTGATTGATTGCATGTTGGGTCTATCTAGGAAACTTCAATCTTGTAGTTTGAGATGATTAAAAGAAAATTTTTTGGTTGATTTGGCTATGTAGTTTTTAAACTCCACAAGCAAGGTTAGATGGCTGCGATATTTCAATTTAGTAACTAATTAATTCATTAATTTTGTAAATATACCCTATTGGGGCATGTGCATATTCTCTAACTCTTCTTGCAGAGTTGAAAAAATCCAGTCCCAGTGTGTAGGATAATGTTTCTTACGTTAAAGGATAATCTCAGACATTGGATATAAGATAATTTCAGACTCCTAATATGTTTCTTACTTTAAAGGATAATCTCAGATATTAGATATATCATAATTTCAGACTCCTAATTTTCTTTATATGTTTTACTTACATGCTAAAGGATTTTATGTATTCTGAAGGCTAAAGAAGGAAAGATCTTTCTGGAAGGTGGGATGCGCTATCTGGAGGTGAAGCAGATTCTTTTGCTGGCCTATTGTCAAGCAATAACCTTTTATCTTCTTCTCAAGTCTGAAGGGCAGCCTGTTCGTGATCATCCTGTCTTAGGTCGTATTGTGGAGCTCCAAGGCTTACTTGATAAGGTCATTATCTTTGGAAAGTGAATATTGTTTTCTAGATTTATGAATTTATTCTGTGCTGTACACAAGAGGTAACATGCATCACCTGTGGGCAAGGTGACTTGCTTTTCATCATTGGGTATCTTTTCTTGCATTTATTGGCCTGTATGTGTAGCTGTAGCAATAGAATTGACAAATTTTTAACTTATGGTTTTCTTTTGCTTTGGTTATTCTGCAAAATCAAGTGGTCAATACTAGTTGGCTGCATCTCAAAAGGAAATGCTAGGTCAATATAAGCTGCACTTCTAAGTAGATAACTTTTTACTGTACGTAACCCACCAGAACATAACAATACATCCTTTCTGCTTTTTATTTTATTTTATTTTTCTTTTATTGATAGAGAATTACAGGTTTTTGATGTGAGATTAAGGCTGTTTGTTAGTTACTAGAGTTACTGTATTCATCTTTCTAATGCTTGCTCCACATAACAGGTGAAACAACTTGATGGGAACCTTCCTTCTGAATGGGAGGAGATTCTGAAGAATAAAGGGGCTGAAATGGGACACAACTTGGTTAAAGAGAGTGCTGAACTGGTATCTGACTCTGGCACGAAGTATAATGATCCATCACTAGTAGGAAATGAACAAGTGGCAGAGGTAGTCAAAATACATTAGTGTTGTCTGTCAGTAACATGTCTTTTAGGTTCTTGTGATTTTGCCAGTCATCTGATTTCTCATTTAATGCTTCAGCCTGACGACACACCTAACTTACTAAAAATGGAGTCTGCAAGTAACCATGACAACAGGGAGGTGAAACTTAATTGTGAGGTGAGATGTGCCTATTACTGCTGCTAATTTTTCACTCTCCTTTCTTTATGCCTCACATCTTTTCTCCCTCCAAATGGCTTCAAATTTCCTTCTTTTTCTTTCTCTCTTCTATGTCACTGGTAGCAATATATCTTACTTGAGATTCCCCCAGAAAATGCAGAATGATCAAGTTGGTGTACAGAGCAGGGAAATGTTAAAGGTAAGAGCAGCTCTTGAGGAAAAATTGAAGCAGAAGGGAATTTTCGGTTCCAATATCCAAAAACCTGATAAAACCAAGAAACATGTGAAACCAGCGAATGGGTACTGATTCTTTTCCCCTTGTTTTGTAATTTATTTTCGTTTTGACTGTATTGAGTACTAATTCTTTCAACTTGGGATTTGACAGACAGCTTGAAACATATGATGATTTTGCCGATGATGCTATGGATGTTGAAGGAGGTGCTCATGGATTGAGTAATGGACATGCAATCTCACAGCATTCTAATAAAATTTCCCAACTTGTTACTGCTAAGCAGAACAAGTCCAAGGTATAATATCTCCAGTGAAATATTAAGATACATTAGAAATATGTCTTTAATGAGCTTTCTGAATGCACTTGGAAGTAGCAAGTTCATTCAGCCAGCATTGCTGAACTCATTATGTGGCAAGCATATAAACTTTTAGTGCTGGGTTTGCTAGCTACTGAGAACAGTGTGTTATGTTTAGTGCCAGCCTTTTCCAGTAAATTTGGTTCAGCTTTTGCCATCTCTAGTTGCTATCATTCTTGAAGTCCATAGCTTATATCTCGTAGGAAGATGCTGAAAGTTTCAACTGTTTAGTTTTCCTTGTTATACTTGCATTGTTGGTTGGTCTTGGTAGAGCATGCACGGTTCGGTAGGCATTCAGAATATTCTACCTTTTCCCTTTTTGTTTTCCTTTGAACCAAGCAGCAAAAAGTTTTCTTGTTCTACAATTTTGAGCTTTTCTTTCCCTGATTTTGGGCAATGCTTGCTAGACCAACCAAGAAAATGATTTACAAAGGAATTGATGCTGGAAGTGGAAATCAGAAACCTTTCTCTTTGTATGGACCTAAGTTAGGGAAAGAAAACAATAGGATTGTGTAGCTTAGACTATTATTATTTATTTTATGACCTTTTTCTTTAAAGACAAAATTTCAAAATCTTAATGTGCACTTTTTTAGTGTTTGCAGATTAACTTTTCATCATGATTCATGTGTAACCTAGATTATATAACTCTTCTCCTGACCTTCCATTCCATCTTGTTGAGAAGGTTGTATCAGGTGATGATGATTTACCAAAGAGAGATGATATTGGAGAAAGGCGGAGGAAACATGAGCTCAGAGTACTGGCAGGAGCAGCAGTTAAATCAGAGGATGACCACGGAGGTGAATATGACACTTTTGAGGATCACGGAGGTGTTTCTGTGGAGGAGAATGGTGATACAGAAGACACAGAAGATTCGGAAGATGAGTTTTATAAACAAATGAAGCTACAAAGGGCTGCGAAACTTGCTGCGAAAGATGAGATGTTTAGAAGGTATGTTTCAGATTTACTATCAAATATTATCAAATACATTCTTTTCAATATATGTAAATAAACAATCATTAGACCAATGATTGCCGACAGATTTACTAATTCTGTCAACGAAAAGAGTCTAGGGGATAATTTTGTGGGTGTCCAAGAAAAAAATTTCCTTCAAATTTTCTTGTTTTCTAATTTTTGATGTGTCCATGGACATGCGACATTAACCCTTTAATCTGCCTCTGCCTGCCTGTACTAGTTTAGCAACAAAAGATAAATCTTTCAGCTGCCAAAAGTTGGATAAAATTTGGATTTAAACCAGTCCTTGTATGGTGTCCTTGTAATGTTTTTATTTTGCAGGACCTCAGCACCCCCATCGTTACCTGAAACTGTTGATGGAAAACGGCAGATAACTCATCAGGTTCTTGCCTCATTTTCCTGCATGACCAAGTTTTCTTACTTCACTGCTTCCTAACATAACTCTGTATCTGTCAATTTGCAACAGATAGAGAAGAATAGAGGTTTAACTCGTCAACGGAATAAGAACACCAAAAACCCGAGGAAGAAATACAGGGTATTTTGTCAGAAAACTTGGATTCCTTGCATTTGATACAATAATACTTCGTTGTTTGGATTGTCAGTTTATGTCTCTCTCATGATGTACAGTTGCAAAGCAAGAAACGAGAGAAACAACGAAAAGGTCAGGTGCGGGATATTAGGAAACCAGTTGGTCAATATGGCGGAGAAACCTCTGGAATCAATGTCGGAATCAGTAGGAGCATCAGATTCAAGAACTAAAATTCGTGAGCCTGTTGGATCATGCATCTTTCAAATTGTATTTAGATTTTTTGCATATTTATTTCAAGATGAAACACGAAAGAGCATCAACTGGGTAAGGTCCAAATTGATTTATTTATTTCATTTATTTTGGTATCAGTTTCATTCTATCATTGATTTTTTTAAATAATAACATTTATTATCTTATAAAAAATGAATTCAGGAACGTTAGGTATGTAAATTATACACTTATCTGCCACATTTATCACCTGAAAAAAAAAAAAAAAAGCTGGAAAGCAAGTTGTGTGTCAAACCCACAAAGCTATGGTTGGATCAAAATCATCTTAATATTCTCAATAATATATTTTTTTGTTATTTTTTTATCATTAATGTTTTCTATTATTCTGTAGTTGAATTTATAAAATTAATGCGAGTTAATTAAATTGAGTTTTAAAAAAATTTCACTTGTTCAGATGTTTTTTATTTTTTGGGACCGTTAAAACTTAAATCATAATCATTTCATCTGGGATGTTGGAAACTTATACAGAAATTAAGAATAAAAATTAGATTAAAAATTATCTTAATTGTTTTATCTGGGATAAGTAACAAATTTTATTTATTAGATGTGAACATTATGATCTCTAAAAATTTTTAAAATAAAAAAACTGCTGATTCTGTTGACTTTATAAATCAATGGATCGGATCGCACAATCGCTGATAAATTTGTTTTAATTAAAATTTATTTTATTTTGTTAACGTTACTCTAATCGGCCCAAATATTATACATGTTAGTAATCGAAAGTCGAAACAAGAAAATGGAAAAAGGCGGGGCCGCACGGAAACTTCGTCAATTGTCCTAGTTTGACTTTAACAGGTACAACTAACAAAGTTGGTATATTAATTTAATATAAAATTTTAAAATACTTACATCAACTCTACGCCATTTTTTAGTTTTGTTTGGCTTTCTTTTCAGCTTTCCTTTCTTTGTTTCTTTCCTTGGTGACTCTTCATTTATCTTTCTTCAACCTAACTAATTTCCTTCTTTACTTCCCTATTAAGGAAAAAAGAAAAGAAAACAAAGAAGAAAATGAGTTTCCAGGATCTTGAAGCTGGTTTCGTTAGGCCACAGCCACAGCAAAACAACTACTTGAATTCTTCACAGCAAAAGCTTAAGCAAGAAAAGGTAGAGGTTTCGGCTTCCGCTTCGCAGTCGGTGGCGGCTGGGATATTCAAAATCAGAACTGCTATTTTGGGTTTTGATCGTCTTGTTAATTCCCTTGGTACCCCTAAAGATACCTTGGGATTACGCGACAAGTTGTAAGTTGACAATATAAATTTTGGCGTATAAATGTATTTGACTCTTGGTTTTGTTTTTAATCTTATTTTTTGAAAATTGAATTAAAAAGAACATAAGTTTGGGTCTTCTTTCTGGGTATTTTCAACTTCTGTTATCTAATGATTAATTGGCTTATAATTTTCCTTTTTTTCACTTTTTTCTGTAAATTAGAATATGGGTTTTCTATTTTTTTTTTTTAATTTGGGAATTTAACTTGATTTACTGATTTAGGTTTTTTTTTTTTTTTTTACAAAACTAAAATTGACCACAGATTATGAGGGCAAAAATTTAATTTGATCTTGGTTTTATTTTAAGTTTATTTTAAAATTGAATTGAAGAACATAAATTTGGACCTTCTTTCTGGATTTCTTCAACTTCTGTTATCTAATGGTTAATTTACTTATAATTTTCTTTTTTTTTTTTCTGTAAATTAGAATATGGGTTTTTCTATTTTTTTTTTCCATTGAGAAGTTTAACTTGATTTATTTACTGTTTTAGGGGTTTTTTTTCCTGGTTATACAAAACTAAAATTGACCATATAAAATATGGGGGCAAAAGCAAAAATGTATTAAGCTCTTGGTTTTATATTAAGTTATTTCAAAATTGAATTAAAGAATATAATTTGGACCTTCTTTCTGTATTTTTTTGAACTTCTGTTCGGTAATATGTTTAGCCATGTACAACTAACAAATAATTAGTCCTTTTTTATTGTTTTGTTTCTAGAGGTTTGGTAGGATGAATGAACGAATGATTGTTTAATTAATCAATATTTTACGGTTAGAACTTGAGACTCCAAATTAAGTGTCTTGTACTCGAATCTTGGGATAGAGGAGATGGAATTTGTGGGATGGGAGTGGGTTATTTCCTTTTGTGTCGCTCAAGATGATATTTTCCCAATGATTTTGCTCTCCATTGGCCCTTACATCTGGATGTCTTCCTTGGCAGGCATAAGACAAGGCTACATATAGGGCAGCTGGTCAAAGAGACTTCAGCTAAACTAAGGGAAGCAAGTGAAGATGATCAGGATGCAGAAGTTAGTGTAAGTGCAATTGCTATATATTTTGTTTTTCTCACCTTTTTTCAAAGATAAAGGAACTGGATAATATGTGAGTGAAAAGAATTATGGTATACAGATGCAAGTAAGTCCTATTCGGGGGTTCTAAGACACTTCTATTGTGTTTAACTTCTCACGACTCATCCCATTTTTTGACTAGATTGGTTTTTTAGAAATTGCTAAGTCCTCCCTGGTATACTTATTCTTGGTAAGAGTAGTGGCATTTTATTTCTTGTTTGAGGAGGAACGAGGTAGTGGTTTATATTCGTCTCCTGATAATTTTTTCATTGAATGGCAGCCCTTAAAGAAGATTGCTGATGCTAAGCTTGCGAAAGATTTTCAGTCAGCTCTCAAAGACTTTCAGAAGGCTCAAAGGCTTGCGGCTGAGAGGGAAACAGCATATGCTCCTTTTGTTCCCAAAGAAGTTCTTCCTTCCAGGTAACTTTTACTGGCTCAGAGATTGCTCTTATGTGCATACAGCAATTGTGATTGCACTATTGCATAAATACACATATCCTGTAGATTGTAGATAAGAACATTTATGTGTGAATCTATCAATATACACTTGCATATGTGCATGTTCAATGTTATAGCAGAATGGTTGGATCTGGGTATATATCTCTCTTGTCTGCATCTTTTTAGGTTTGAAAAGCTAGCCAGCCTTTTATGGGTTTCTGAATTGCATTTTAAACACATCTAGTAACAATAAAATGGGAAAATGTAAAATCTATTCTGGAGTGTGGAAATTTCAGTATATTAAATTGAAACAAATTCTGAAAAATGACTCAGAATGTTTCTATTAACTTTTCTTTGTAATTTTTCTATTGCTCTTGAAAAGAGTGACTCAAGATTGGTGTTTGTATTACTTCTGAAATCTTCCAAGCATCTTTGAGCTACTTTTTGTTGTAACAGGGTTGACCAGACTGTCTATAGTTTAACTATTGCTCAGCTGTTAACTTTATTGCATGACTGTAGTGCTTTATCTTATATCTTGTATTAAACATGCACAGTTATGCTGCCCATGAGGTGGAAATAAATTCATCTAAGAGTCCAGAATTGCAAACTCTTCTGATATCAAAAAGGTTAGCAGTTTTTACGTTGTATGTTGATGATATAACCTTCTTTTGTGAAGCTGTTACTTTTGGAACTGATCAACCTAATTGCTGTTGTTTAAAAAGTTGCTATTGTGAGACTCATTTTGACGGTTTCCTGAGTAACTTGGCCACAAAAATAGCAGTGGATTACTGTTTCCTTCTTTGAGGCTTTAAATGGGGGAAGCCTGTCTTCAAATATATTCATTGTTATTGGAGTGATATGTGTACTTAGCTGTTGTAGCAAGCATTCACGGGGCAAACCTGTTTTCTTTTCCCTTCCTTTTAATTTTCATCAATTGACTTGCCTGAGTTTCCATAGTTAAAGAGATTGATGTGTCGACCTGCCTTCCAAAACATGTAATTCCCTCCTGCAAATGTTTAGAGTTGTCAAATTATCCTCTGTTAACAGACAAGAAGTTGTACTGTTGGACAATGAAATCACATTCAATGAAGCCATTATTGAAGAAAGAGATCAGGGGATCAAAGAAATTCAGCAACAGATTGGTGAGGTGAATGAAATTTTCAAAGATCTAGCAGTTTTGGTCCGTGAGCAAGGAGCCATGATTGGTAAGACTTGTGTCCTTTGTATACCTCACTTTCCTGCTCAAGTTTCTCCAAAGCTTTGGTTGCTAGTGTAACAAGATATTTAACATGTTTTCCTTGCAGATGACATTGGTTCGAACATTGAGAATTCCCATGCTGCAACTGTGCAAGCTACTTCACATCTTAAAAAGGCATCCAAGATCCAGAGAGCTAATTCATCTACAGTAAGTTTGATTTATCTGAATATTTTTCCCTTTTTTTTCACATGAAACTATTTTTTCCCGCTTAAGTTTCTGTTGATGTTTTTGGTTTATTGGAGTAATTTATGGGAGTAAGTTGAAAGGTAATCATTACATTACTTAAAGTCTTTAACTCAAGCAACACAATAACTTTGACAGGTGCTAGCTGCTAGGTTCCTAGATTGCCATCAAGTTTAATATATTATTTGTATTTTTTAAACATGGTTACTGTTGGGCTTCATTTACAAATGCTTTCAAGACATGATTGTCAGCTATCATTTTATTTTCTTACCCAGATGTCAATTAATGGGGTTTCTTTAAATCATTGACATGCTGGTTGTTGACATCCTTTGTTGGCAATGGCATCTATAGGTTGCAAGAGCATGTATTAACAGATATTTAAGAATTTTATTTTATTTTATTTCTTTTATTTTGAATAATATCTGTTCCATTTCCTGAAATATGGCAACAGTACCCAGTGAGGTTCTTGGTTTGTTAAATATGATTATTTTTTACCAATTTTTAGTCATAATTTTATAGTTGTTTAACATAGCATATTTCTTCAGTTTCCTATTTTCTTGGATTAAGATCACTGTGGATGATATGTAGACTTTTTTTTTTATAGGAACAACTTAAAGCTATTTTTACTCTTTAACAATTTTGATCAATGTTTGCATTTTGTGAACAAATCTATGACTTTTTAATGCAGAGGTGTTTGCTGTTGTTAATCTTTGGGATCATTCTCCTGATTTTCATCATAGTTGTGGTGGCTTAAGCAACAGATCAGATATGGTGTCTTGAGCTTAAAATTCTCTGCAGCAATGTAACCAACTGTTTCAGGCGGTATACGATCTAAATTACACAGATGGCCATGTAACGTATACTACTATTTTTTTATGCTGTAGGTAAGATCCTCCCTGGAGACTCTGCTTTACAGCAAATCATGTAAATAGATTGCTCCCTTGCCTCATCAATAAATTTCAAAATTTTTTTGCATCTTCCATTGTTTGTAATAATTGATATAAAGTTAGTTTCGGGAGTAAAATGCAAAATTGTAATGAGCTGGAATCAATGTAGGAAAGATGGCTGGTATTTCCTTTTCAACCTAAGGTTTGAAAGCATAAACTAGACTTTACAGTTAGAATATTTGTGTTTATTACGTGTTTCGCACTTGTAAAATACGAAAATTATGAAAATTATTGTATTGTAATTTGTGACGATATGTTAAATATAAAATATATTTTTTAATTTTTGTCAAATTTATTTATAATTTTTATTAAAATTTTAAATCATATTGGTTTTGTTTTTTCCAAATTGTACTATCGAATTTTTTTTTACTTATGTCAAAATGTGTATTTAGTCTTTCTATAATAATTTTAATATTAATATTACCTTATGAAACACTGACACTTCCGAATTTTTTGCGTATTCACATATATTTTTAATTAATAATTATTATATATAAAAAGTTTTTTTTTTTATTATCGTGTTTTATCATATTCTTCTTTTTTTTTTTTTTAATTACTGTGTCTATTTCAAATCGTACCCGTAGTTTATTTATATCCGTTCTTCATTGATGCTACCTCTATTTTTTAGTATTTGAAAATTTGGTCCAACCCTTCGTTGTTTACTGTTAAATGCACTGACATGCATATTTAACTTGTAAATGTGGCATTACTCGATGACATGGCTAGCTTACCTGTTTTCCTTTTTTATTTTTCTTTCGTCATTCCTACTCATCAAAACGGTGAGCTTTACTTTTTTTTTTTTTTTTTTTTATTTTCAATCTTCTTTCGCTAAGATTCCCTCTCCCTCTAATTTTTCAGCCACCTACCACCTTAAATCCAGAAATTTCAGCCACCCATTACCCTAAACCTAGAAAGCGACCGGTGGTTGCCACTTCGGCCGCCGACCGTTGCTTGCCAGCATTGGAATTGTCCCAAAATTTACCCCCATATTCTCTTTGGTCTCTTTTCTTTCCATTGAACCAATTAGTTTTTCTCAAAAACCAGGCCCAGCTTATAAACCAATGAGTTTTCTCAAAGAATGTCTTGTTTCTCGTATCAATGCAAAACTTTTTCTTATGCAATAATGATACTCCATTTTAATCATACTCTGTAACTGTAAATTTTTTGTCTCCTTTGTTCTTGTTGTGGTTTTGGTGGTGGTGCTGCAGAATTTTGTATTTTGCTGACGTGAGTGCGATTTTGATTTTGGTTTTGATTGAGAAGATGAAGGTGGCGATTGGAGGGCTTCGAATCATAATTCCCGGAGGTTTCTAATTTTCGATTTGTTTAGGGTCGGTCGTTGTGGGTTGATTATGGAGAGCTGGGGTCAGTGTTTGGTAGTGATGGTGGTGTGACGAGTAATTTTCAGGTTTCGGAGGTTGGGCTTTTAATGGTATTATGTCGGGATGTAGATTGGTAGCGGTGGTGGTTGATTTTGAATGGTTATGACTCTTGTGATTTTCTTTTTGTCATTTTTTTTTGGTTTGACTGAGACTTTTTCAAAAGAAATTGGAATTTGGAATGAAAAAGGAAAAAGAGATTTGGAATTTGGGTTAATTTAGGGAAAATGGGTTACGTGGATTAAAAAATTCCACCTTATCAAACGCATTCAGTTTCTTATAGCCAATGTCATGTCACATCATTAGATTAACACCGCGTGATCTGATTAATTGTCACGTCATCAAATTTAACTGATCATACACCGTTTATAATTAAATCGAAATTCAAATCTAAAAAAGCGAAAATATTTTTAAATTAACATTAATATAAAGAGATTAAAGTCGTTATTTTATATAAAAATTTATTATAGTTAAAATTTTTTATATAATTTTCTTACCGTATTTTTTTAATGTTTAAATTTATCAAATGTAACTGCAGAATGTAATTTCTCATCAACTACTCCTTAAAAGAGATTAAAAGAGTTAAAGCCATCGGTAAAATTTTTCTGTCCATGTTCTAACAAAACAAACAAAAAAAACGCATAGAAAGACGGAAGAGGTTCCAGCATGAATCCCTAAGGTCACGTTTGGAGCATGAATTCAAGTTATAGTGCATGAAATAATAGACAGATAAAATAATAATTATTTTAGATTATATTTGATTTATATTTATAAAAATAAATACAATTATAAGAAAGATTAATCAAAATTTTTTTTTTGCATAAGATAATTTAATTTTTTTGAAGTAAAGAGTTATTTTTAATTCACATGATTAAATTTACATATCTTATTATATTTTTTAAAAATTACATTAATAATTTAAATTATATAAAATTTAAAAATAAATAATTTTAATCAATAAATAAAATTATCTTATCTTAATACTTGAACATATTAAATATAAAATAAAATAATATTATTTAATATAATTTTATTTTTAATAATATTTTATCTTATCTTATAATAATCATATATACCAAACATACGCTAAAACCTTACTTGCAACAGGATCTATTGCTTTCTTACATTTTTTTTATATATAATTTTATGAATTCAAAGTTATCAGGATTCTATCATTTCTTTCTCTCATGACTTTCCTCACCGTCATTGACCCAATGCTACCAAGGTTGCCCTCATCTCTTTTTCATCTCTAACACATAAATAGTTAAAAAAAAATTACAATTTAAAATTTTAATAAAAATTTAAAAATATATTTTATAATTTTCGTATCAATACAAATTATAACATATAATTTTTATGTAAAATATAATATAAATATATAAATTATCATATTTACATAATATGAATATACAATATGAATATTCGACTTATCAATATTTTACATAATACAAAAATATAAATTATCAAGTCTACTCTCAATGACCGGATTTATGCAAGGAGCTCAAACCCTTCATTTTATGATCAAGGGAGGGAGGGGGTTTCAACTTCATAAGGTCTCGAGCAATGGTCATTTATACCTTACTTTCATGATACAGAGTGGCTTATAAGTTATTCCATGCTTCAAGCACAAGGAGATATCTCATCTGAATTTAGAGCTTTCAGCATTCTAATCGAACATTTGTAAGTATAAGAGGGAAGAAAGGGCAATAACGAAAAGGGTATTTTTCTGCATCATATTTGAAGCCTGTATCTTGTTCCTGATATTCATCTATGACTAAAACAGGGAGAAAACATAACATAATTCTTATTAATATTTCTTTGGATAACCATTTCGAACGCAAATTATGTTATTACTACATATAACACGCGAATAACTCTTAACAACACAAGTTTCTCTTTGAACCAAAGCTTTTTCTTGCCAGCATCACATATCATCAACCTCTGCAAAAACCATAGAAAATTTAAAACTCAAAAATCATATAATTTCTCTCACACTGTGCTTCATAAAGCCAATAACAATTGACAGCCTGAAGATGTGAAAATGATTCTGAACAAGACACTGTCTGTGTACTGTGCAGTAAGTTGTGTCGGAATTATAAAGTGATAATACAAAGAGCATTTTCCTCGTCATCTATTGATTTGGAATTAGCGAAGTTAATACACATGTTAATAAATTCTTTTTATGTCACAAGAGCAATTTTGAAAAATGACATTACATGAATTTGAACTGAAGCTGAATATGAAGTAGAGCATTCTTAATATTTATAAATAACTTATCACAACGATGGGCCAAAGAAAAACAGAAAACGGTTGCTATAATTACTAGTACTATGTCAGCAAGGACCAACCTAATTATCAGCTAACTCTGGTATCTTTGGAGAATAGCACTCCTGCTCATCAAGCTCAGTATGGTGAATTGTTGGTTAAAAAATTTACCTCATTGCAGCGAGAAACACATATATACAATTTGTGGGACATCAACCCGTCCTGATATCTGATGTAAGAAGGCCCATTTGCTCAGTAAGATGATTCATATGCGGAATCCTATCCCATCCACTCTCTTGCTCTAACAGTGCTCCCTGTTCCCCATTTGCACCATTTTCCAGTGAACTCAAGTTAATTTCATCTGTGTCTTCAGTAAGTGGGCTTGTTCTAAGAAACTGTTCCCAGAAAACATCATTAATTGCTGGAAGCTTGGGGTTTCCATCCAGCAAGATGTTCATATCATGATCAGCAGAAAAGATATCAGTTTCTACAGGCATTGCACCATCCAAAAAAGCTGACATTGGATCAGTGTACTCTACATTCCCTCTCTCAGACCCTGCCAAACTTCTATCAGCAAATCTAATAGTATTATCAGGCACAATTCCTTGCATTTGAGGAACATTCGTAAAAACTGCATGTTTCTCTGATTTATGAACATTCCCAGAAATTTGATCCACTTTAGAATGCTCAGCTGTTAAATGAGCAGCAGTTGATGGACAAGTGTCAGGAAAACCTGGTTCTGCTTGCACATAAGACTGCCCAGAAGCTGGTGAGACTTCAGAAGGTGTCACTCCAGAAATCTGACTGTAGGAGCTCCTGCTGTCTAATGCATTGGAAGGAGGAACATCATCAATCATGAAAGCACCAGGGTTATTTATCAAAGGTTCCAGCCTAGGTGATGTGTTCATCTTCAAAATCTGGTGCAGCATTGCCTTTGCTGCCTCATTCAGTGAAGGCTGGAACTTTACGATCTGTCCATTAGGAGATATGGCACTGTTTTCACCAGTTAAATTTTCTTCATCCTGCCTGGGGAGTCTCCTCTTCTTGTTTGTTCCAGTAAGGCGCCTGTTGCTTTCATTTTGCTGCTGTACAAGCTGGCTTAAGAAACCTGGATTTTGCATGGCCTTAGCAAGGAAGGACATCATTTGCTGCTGTCTCTGCTCCATCACCTGTACACGCTGGCCAACAGCTTGCAACTGGTTATCTGTGGCTTGCTGCTGCTGCCTCAACCTAACAAGTTCCTGCATGAGAACATTCTTGTCCCTCTTAAGCCATTCAACCTCCTCTTCGAGTCCAAACTTCCCTACCTCAATGCAAGCTCCAATAGATGAGCTCTGAACTTGGGGTTGTTGATTACTGTGGACATTAGCAGGTTTCCGCCTGCTGATAGTTTTCAAGAGATGTTTCTGACCTCTTAGGAATCCCTCATTAGCAAATTCCCAGCGGTCAGGGTCAACTTTCCTAAAACCCTAAAGGAAAAAAATTATGATAATCAACAACATGAGTTATCGTATATATTTGCCAAACAGAATGCAGCAAGCCCTCATATGTGTAAAGCAGGATTGAAATTTAATATCTAATCGAATCATATCATCTGTCTTGATTGAACCCCAATGCCTGACCACAATCAATTAGTAATTACAAGCATATACTTAAACCTACAGATAAAAACACAATTACAATTTGATGAGGTCTTTGGCTCAAGAAAAAAAAAAAGGCCAGAAAACTTCAATTTCTATCATCCACCCTCTCAACGAATAAATTTCAAATTACAACCCATAGCAGCGGCTTACAAATAATATTCTCTCCATCATGCTTTTGTTCACTTGTTGGTTAAAAAAACATTTTAAGATGTCAAAAGACTTTTTTTTAAAAAAGATAATTTGAAAGAAGAAAAGCTAATATGAGAAAATTAGGAATTGAATTGTCAGTTCAGCGAATTCTGAGAATTTTGTATCTTACTAGGAAAATCCTCAAAACAAAATGTTAGCTTATGGCCCTTCCTCTTGACATGTAGTTAGATCAAACATGACAAGAACCAAAAAGAAAAAAGATCAACTACAGATAATATTATGGACGATAAAATATATCTCCAGGCTTTATAGCAATTTAGATGAAAAACGTCAGTGAAGGCATATAGAATTTGTTTAAGAAACATGAAATCAATATAAATATCACACACGGAACAATAGCACTAGACATTTCAGCTACTGATATGGGAGCAAAACATTATAGTGAATGTGTGAAATACTTTAACTAATTCAAATTTAACATATAAGACTAGTAAGAAAGAAGGCCCATAACTAGTATCATTTAATATGGTAGGAAAATTGGTCAAAATATGTAAATGGCTAAATCTGTGGATGTATGTTTGATAGGAATTTATTGTGAATGTAGCTGTATACCAGATCAAGCTAGTAACTACTACAGGATTCCTGCATCTAAGAAGTTAGAACTTGGACCAGCGTAGAAACTAAACTTCATCTGCATCACATCTGGGCCATGAGGTAGATAGGAATAAGTTCAGGTGCATTCAATTTAGAAATGCTACGTCATCAGTCACAGAATCTCAATCTCTTCTTGACATGAATACCAAAAGTGAGTAGATTAAACAAGGTTACATGATAGAAGATCATACTTCACCAAATGAACCAAGAGATGCTCAATAAAGCAAACCATCAGACTAGGCCAAGTTCTTTTATTTGCTTTTGCCCAGATTTTGGACCAGACCTATTCATTCAAAAATCAGTATTTTTTTTCTCAAACTTAGTTTAGAAATATCATCTAAACTAGATTATTAGAACCTTTGATTATTCTTAGCCAACTATAATACAGAACTCCCTAACTAAAAAAAAAACAAAAAAACTATAATACAAAACAAAGGTTTTAGCATAAATTCATCCACAAGGACCATTTTATATTAATTTAACTTTGTATGATGCAGTATTCCTTAAAACAGTATGCTATTACTTTGGCAGATTCATCAATGCTGCCATGTAACTTATGCTTAAAAAAAATTGTCTTTAGAGTTTTAAGCATGTGGAATGGATAAAGTAGGTTTGTATTTCAACTTAGGATAAAAAAGGTTTGATATTAATAACTGTTCTGCTTAAAACAACAAATTTTCTATTAAGAAACTACAATCCTACCAATGTAAATTAGCTTACACTTGCAACTGCAGGGTAAAAACAGGTTTAAGGTGTAAGTTGAGGTCTATACCATGATTAATGGATTTGTTAAAAGTAAAAATGAACTGATATGTGTGAGGCAAATAACATGAAGATCGAGATAAATAAAGTTTGTCAATCTCCAGTAATATCATATATTTACTTAACAAAAAATGCTGTTAATTTAACTGACTAAGATTTTTCTGAAGTTATAGATACTAAGAAGTTGAATGCATGTATATTCTCTTGGGGCTCAGCTCAGCCAAAAAAAAAAAAAAAAAAGAGGGGGAAATCAAGGATGGCAGTAAGAATTAAAGTGAAAAATTCAAAATAATGCTTATAGATAAAGAAAACCAGAGAAGATACCCGTATCTGAAAATTGTATGAGCAGTAATTACCTATACATACCAACCCTCCTGACATGCTATTGGGATACATATTCACTGATTGAAGCAACAAAAACTCCATAGCAGCATTAGAAGTCAATTATTTCGGCTACCCTCATTCCGACATTTCCAAATTTAGCCAAACAGACAGCCAGATAAAGAGTGTTTATCAGGTCCTTTAACCCTTTTGGCTGAAGTTTGGAAACATTTGACCAGAACCCCATATCATATATCCAAACATTCAGTTTTTACTTTTTATATTTCATCTCAACTCATCCACATTAATATCGCAGGGAAAATGCTTTTCAACCAATCATCCACCTACCATTGTCAATCCTATATAATAAGAGGAACTCCAACAGCTAAAAGCAACTCAATTATCCAATTTCGAAAAGCGCTAACAAAAGTCACGTTTGTTTCTCCTCAACAACATAACCAGCATATTGCAGTGGCAAATCCAAATTCCAATATTTCAACAAATTACTATCCCCACTCAATCAAACCCATATTCCATCTTACACCACAACGATAATATAAATTCATGATCCAACACCCATATGGGTTCTGAAAACTCTCCTCCCATGATAACTCCATCACTAACTTAAAACTATTCACAGTCACAAACCAAATTTCCATACAATCTAAACATTCCAAAAAACAAAAACTAGACCCTCAAAATCAAAATAAAACCATGACGCCTTCAAACAACAAAATTGCAATCCTCCGCAAGGAAACACAACTTAGGGGGTCTAATGTTCGAATTCTATAACCTAAAGCTAAGGTCCAATTAGCCACCATAAGTATAAAAAAATCGCAATCCTAACACAACGAATAAACATAAAATCAAAGCAATACCCACATAAGTATTAAGCTGTCGGACAAAGCTGGAGAAATTATTGTGCTTAAAATATTTAGGCAAAAGGTCCCTTGCAAACTCCGGCACTTTCCAGACAACGAAACTGTTGTTACCGCTACTCCACGACACCACCGAGTTGGTCGATGGATCATCCACCATGTCGTAAGTTTTGCTCAGAAACGGCGGCACCGTGTTGCCGTTGGCTGCGGCGGCAGCGTTCGCTGCTGATATTGAATCATGAAGAGAATTCATTTGGCTTTTATTAATAAAAATTACTAAGAAAAAGGAGAAAAAAGGGTATTCGAAAATATCGGTCTTAAGATCAGATAGTGAGGGGATTTGCCATGGGAGTAAATGAAGGAAGAGCTAGATTTTCTAGACAAAGAGGAAGAGAAGAAAAAAGGGCAATTGTACGGTACACTAGCGAACGAAATGGGAGAGTAGTAGTGAGTTTGGCGGCAGAGAGAGAGTTAAAGAGAAGAGAAGGGTTTTAGGGTGCTTTTGACTTGATTGGTTGGATGGAAAAGAAAATAAAGAAAAGAAGAGAAGGGAAGGGAAAGAACACGTAGCGGTCTGTAAAACCATATGTACGAATTGTTTGGCAACCACTAATTAATCTTAAACAAATGTCAACGGAGGGATTGTTTTCAGTATAGAGGATAGATAGCATCGATTTTATGAAATGCGTTTAAATTATTATTGTTTACTATTAATTTTATGTTACTTACTAATTTTTTATTTATAATTTAATTAAGTGAAGAAAAGGTCTTATCCTTTTCCTTTGCCTCGCCATCTCCATATTCGTAGCATTTTCCAAATGCAAATTTCCATATTCGGATATAAAAAACAAAGCAGCTTTGCTCCTCTGAGCTTAGCACGGTAACCAGCCATGCTTTATACCACACCCGATCGCTTCTCTTCTTCTGCCTCTCCTTTGCTTTCTTCGCTGTCTCGAAAACCCATCTTTCTCCTTTCGAGAAAACTGCGAGTGAGCAGCTGGGTGAGTCGTCGAACTCGTGCCAGTCCTGACTCATTCGAAGTGCCGAGTGATTGGTAGCTATGGTTTCATGAATGTTACTAGGTGATTCGGTTTTTCTTCATGAAAATTTTTTCTCCCATCCTCTATTTGGTTCCCCGGAAAACTAAATGAAAAGAAGAGAATTTTGAGTCGCTGCTTATTTTTTTTACTAATTTTAGGCATTTGTGGTGTTCATGTTTAGTGTTTTTCGTTTCTTTTATTCTACTTTTTTGGGTAATGTTCAAGCCTTAGCCAAAAGACGAGTAGTTTCTGTTAGGTTTCTAGGAAACTGGAAGAGAACGAAAGAAAATAAAATTTTGGAATTTTTGTTTCGTTTAACTGCCCGAGAAATTGTGAGAAAATGATAAATATCCGTGTATAACTCTAAGTAAACTCGTCAAACATTTTAAACATCTTTAAGGATGGATGTTAATTTCGTTGAGGTGGCTAGTCTCGGTTTGTGGATAGTGAATATAATTATTTGCTGAGGATGCATCAAATATAAACAGGAATTATAGTAACAAGGAAGCTTGAATTCTACTTTTTTTTTCATAATTATGAAATTCAATTAATGTTGGAACGTCCCTTTCGTAAAATTTTTTGTTCGTGGCATACACGCACATTCAGGAGCACATGAATGTTACTAGGTGGGGTTTTAATGTGAATTCTTGTCTCTGTTTGGTTACTGAGAAAAGAAAAATAAAAGAATTTTGGATGAATGTGGTATTTCTTTATGTAATTTTGATTGTCAAGTACTCTTTAATTTGGTTGCTCAGAAAGTGATGATATTTAGTAGAGTAGAAAAAATGGGTTTATGTTTGTTGGATGTTACATTTCGTACTTAACCTTCCAGTTGGTTGCGGAGGAAATGTTTGAAAACAATATGGTAAAAAGAAGGGAAAGTTTGAATGTTATGATTGTTATTCATTACTGCTTGCTATTCTTTGGTTGAACAAATAGATTAGATATCTGAACCTCACTAGAGTAGATAATTTTGTTTGTGCACATGCATCTTGAGAAGCAGATGCATGTAAAGGGCAGGTTCCTAGAGAGGTTATTTAAGCCTTTTTCTTTTGTTGTTGCTAATAGATGGTGAGAGAAACCAAACTTAGATTTTCATTCTTTAATAGTTTCCTCCTAAAGTTAGGATCCTTAAAAAACAGAAACCATCACTCAATGTGTTCTTTATCTTGGTTTAGGAAGCAACAAAAGAATATGAAAGATTTAAATATCTTTTTCTTCCCTTTTTTGTTTTTTACCCGCAAAATGAGGTTTTTGCATTTGTGATTGGAAATTGTTATTCTCAATTTTTTGTTAAATTTTGGGTTTTGATGCAAATTTTATTGAAAGATGACATGGATAAAGGTCTGAACTTTTGTTTCCAGCTATACTGGGTTTCAGTCAGGGCCAGATCTTGAATATTCATCTGAAGATTATGGGCAATTAAGAGTTCAAGATGTTGGAGAAGGGAATGTAAAAGTCAGGTGCTTTTTTACTGATACATGTATGCACATGGGCACAAACATGGAGACAAATGTTTGCTACTTTTGATGCAACTTGCAGAAGTTTTACATCTTCCTACTGATGCTATCCATGGCAGTTCATCTGCAAGCTTTATGAAGGATAAATAGCTCAGGGTCCATTTAAGGGCACACCAGTTATCTTTAAGGTGATATTATTTATATATTTTCCTCAATCCTCATCCATTTTATCACCCATAGTTTCACATAGTCTAAGAAAAAGTGAGAAACCCCACAGTTAATGTGAAATATGGTCTTTAACATTTATTTATTTGATCTTGATGTATGCTTTAGAGTTCTTCATTGGTGACTCTTTGCTGGGACACATTATTCAGATACATTTTGTGTCATTTGTATGGATAGGGGTTTGTTATTCCTTACAAATAGAAAGATAGTATCTGCATAACTTGTTTTTGCTGGGAGTTGCCTTTGATTAATTTACCATAGCATAATTATGTGGAGTTTAATTGGTTAAATAATTGGAAGTTGAGTTAGTTCTTCAAATTTTCTCTTATGCAATGTGAGAAGTTTTGTTTATGTCTTTTTCTTTCTTCATATCTCAAATTAATCCTTAAGAGTGGGGGTTTAAGTGCTTGTTGATTTTGTTTATATATTTACACTTATCTCACCACGTAAGTGGAAAATTTCTGTCTGTGAGAGATAAGGTGCATTGAAAAAGGGCAGAAAATAGCTTCTCTACCTGCATTTAGTATTAGCTCGTTTGCCACACAAAAGAACCAAAAAAAATCTACAATACAAACTGAATCACAAATTAGGCTCTTTGACCATATGGTGTTAACAATTTCCGTTATTGATACACTATACTAAAACTTTTCACCATGAAGGTTTACCCCGGACAATGAGCTGGTGGTATTGAGGCTGATATGATGGCTGCCAATGAACTCCATAGTCATGCTTTCCTCCAGGTAAGATGAAGTGGCAGAATAAGTTTCAGCTGATCATAAAAGTAAAATTTGTATTTCTTTTGATAATTGGAATTTATTATCTGAATGTAAAAGGAATGATACTGATTTGTCTTGATTATGCACCTGTCTACAGGGCAGTTCTGAAGGTATATGTAGGAATCTTCTGTTACTTCTTGGTGGATTTGGGTCAAAAACAGCGGAGCAGGTCTATCATTTCATATTAACTATATATGAGTTTGCAAGCTGCCTTTTCTTTTGGGCAGCTTTAGAAATGAAGTACCTTTGTTCTGTATGGTGGTTCACCTTCCAAGATGATGGTAAATATAGTGCAGCAGATTTTGCAAAAGTTACTAGCAAGAAAATATCAAAAGCCTTTTCTCTAGAAGAAAAGTCTTGGAATCCTTTTGAGCGAGAGTAAGCATTTAAACGCAGAGCATAATTTGTCATTAAGCTATTAGAGGGTGCTGTAAGTGCTTTAGTCTACATGTGTAATCATGAAAGACTGCACCAGAGTCTTGGACCCTCTTCTGTTGTACTCAGGTATTTTGTTAGACAATATTCATTTGAAGTCTGGATTTATCCTCCTTAAAAACAATCGGTTTGCTCTGCTTACTTTAAATGTTTAATCAACCTTTTTCTTGACTGATGATGGTACAATAGTAGAAAGAGATGCTGCTTATTTGGCTGCAAGGCTTCCAGATCTAGCCTTTTCTGTTGACATCAGGTACAGCTGTGTTGTTCTTTGTCTTTTCTACTTCCACCACCCACCCTACCCCTCTCTCCCTGAAAGATGTAGTCTGATTTTCATCTACATCATTGGAAAGTTTCGCAACCCAGGGCAGTGGTTTTACTTGGTTCTGTAGAGTACATTGATTTGTGCATTGCTGGCTGAACAGCGTGCAGTCAACTGAGCTAATATTTGTCCTTTAGATGGCCATCGCAAAATCATTATATGTGTAGAAATTCATGATTCACATAGTGAGATAATGATATAAGGGACTCCAGTTTTTTAGAAATTTTGGATATTTTAGATTAAGCCCCTTTTGCATGACATTACAATTGATGTCTGTCCTAAAAGTGGATTAGTCCCTAGCTTCTAAAGCTATAAGATGACACTTCGAAGGCTGCCAAAAAAATCACCAATCTTGTTGAGAATAAGGTTAATATTTCCTTGGTATGATCATGTATTATTTATTTATTTTTTTAATACATCTTTGTTCCCTCTTTGCTAATTAGAGTATTCTTCTGAAAAGAAGGGAAATACATCATGAAATATTGCATGGCATTGTTTTAGTTTTCAAGTACTGCTATTTATATCCAACGATATGGCATTTTTCTTTCTAGGTTTTCGTATTTGGAAGAAGATCCTAGCACATTCTCAGAGGATCTTTGAAGATGAGCATCTTCTGCTGGTGCATTCACACCTATGGAGAGAAGAGCCTTTGGAATAGCAGATGACATGTAATGTTTGATGTTGGTGACCCTTTATCAATTGATTCTTTTATCTGCTTTTTATACCCAAAATTAATTTCTTGTCTTGTGTCTAGACAGTTATGAAGCAGGTCTTCTTTTTGCATACTTGGCCTTTCATTGCAAGTAAGCAACAGTTATATCATTATTTCCTTTAAAAATGTTTGGATCTGCCCATTGTATATGAGCACGCTTTGGAAAGATAAATAAATGAGCAATTCTTGGACCAAACTAACTGTCCTTTCATGTACTGCCAGTGGCTTTTGGAAAGCACTTCAAACTTGATCTCATGGCTACCAGAGAGTAAGCCTTCTAAATCCTCAAAACAAGTAGTGATTGTACTTAGAGGCATACTGTTCCTTTTATTACCGTATGATCATAATATATTCAATTTATTGGACAATGAAGTCTTTATTGTCTAGTTGTCAGCAATACCTCTTTTGTTTATTTGGCAATAAACTATTTACAGGCTTCTAAAGTCTTGTAAGAAATCATCACCCCCTTACCGACTTAAAACAGGAAGCAATCCCAGAAAAAGGCTGCACTGATTATTTTCATTTACACTGCAAATTTGGACGCACTTTTACTTTTCTAATTTCTGAGGCAAAAGTTCTGAACTTTGTTGGTCATATTAGATAGCCATGAGGCAATGTAAAATGATTCTCTCATTTACGAAATATGACTTGTGAGAAATTGAAATTTCATTTCATGGATTCAAAATTCCATTTTAGCAAGCTAGTGGAATCGATGTCCAGTCTTTCCTTGCTTCAGCCATAACACATAATTTTACTTCCAAACCATTTATTCCTCTTTTTCAGTTGCTTTAAGTTTGACTATTACCTGTCTTTTACCTTTACTTTTATTCTTCTGTGTCTCTGTGTGCAGGTGTTGTTTCGCAGATGACAGCAGGTTAGAAGCTGTCAGATTTCTAGATCTTGGTGCTGGTGCTGGTTGGGAAGTACTTCAGGTCAGTCACAATCTGGAAGTTATATTATGTACTTTCCTCTTCTCTGTCAAGCCGCACGTTTTGTCATTTTTAAAGGTTAGTCTGTTAATAAATTCATCCTAGAACATAATTAAGGGAGGTTAAATTATTTGCTTTTTTGCAAGGACCTGGTATCAATATGGTGCTAACAACAAACAAGTAGAGGAGGTTAATAGCCAGAGAATACCTGGAGTAATAAATGTCTTAAATTTGTTTAATTTGATTTGCCAGGCTAGTAAATATGATATGGATCTTGTCATACAAGCTATATATGACTACAGGTAGTGAATATGTTTCTTTTTTTTTCCCTTTTGGGGTATGTTTGATTAAATTGTTTATTCTGTACCCTCACCTTGGCTGGCCATTAGAATATGTAGTGAGGCAGATTATTCTAATATAACTAATGAGAAGATATGAAAAGCTCTTTCTCTAGGGAGAAAAATCTTGCAATCTTTGGAGCTAGAGCAAACAATTAAATGCAGAAAGATATCTTATCATCTAACTATACCTGGTGGCTGGCCTGCTGGGTGGTTTAGCCTACATGCATAATTGCGACAGATTGTATTTGTTCCAAGAGTCTTGACCAGTTTCCGATGTTCTTATGTACTAGGTTTGAGAATATTCATCTGAAAGTTAGGAATTGTCTTCTTTACATGGCAAATTATCAGAACAATTTGCTTCTTTTTTTTTTTTTTTCAATGTATGATAAGTTAATTGATATGCTGTTAGTTACAAGACTTGGAGATCTAGCCTTATCTGCTGATACACAGTACAGATATGTACTTCTCCCCTTTTCCCTCCAGTACCATTGTGATTTAATGTTCAAGTTTGTTAAGTCATAGGAAGTTCTGTACATATTATTTCAAGAATATTTGTAGATTGCAAGAGTTTTGTTGACATCATTTCTCATATCTTGAAGCTTTGCATAGGCTCTATATATACATATATTCCAGTAGAATTTCTTGAGAGAAGTTTCAATTTTTGTTTTCTTTCCAAGTTAAAAGTTCTTCAGCCTCTTGTCTCTAATGGGACATCTTGGTGGTTAAAACTTTAAATTTTAAGTTGACAAGTTTGGGTTCGAATCTTGAGATCATGTGTAAGAACATCCTTATTTGAACGCAGCGAACTGTATGTTTTGTTTCTTCTTAATTATGGAGGATATAATGTTAAAAAATTTAAGACAACTTTCCTAAACAAATCCATATGATGCAAGAAATGGAACGATTTAAAAGTAAATTTGAGAAGGGTATGGATGTTGATACTAACCTTTTAAGGAGGTAAATGAGGTAAGTTATTTGTTAACTATTTAAATTTGATTCCTTTATTATTAAATTTAAGTAGATTCAATTCGATTATACATTAAGTTGGTCCAATATTAATAAAATAATTTTCATCTTCATGACAAATAAAATACAAAAACTAACATCTTCTATATTTTGGTTCGATAATTGGTCAAAGTATTTTTTTAGTTTAAATGGTCCAATTCAACTTCAACTTCTTCTTATCTTCAAAAAAAAAAAAAAAGGTTAAATATCAAATGAAATGTGAAAAAAAATTACAATGAGTAGAGCTGTCCATGGCTACATCCAGAATTTTCAAATCTGAGCTTCATTTTGGATTATTTAATAAATTTGTATTAAAATAAAAAATTATTATCTCATTATATCAATTTCAGTTACTATTATATTTATTATTTGAGAGAATTATCAATTATCTTAATTTTTTTATAACAAAGAGTTATCCTTCACATTGAGTTTTCTTTAGCCTAAGAAACTAATTAAAGAATCTATTTTTATTTTATTGTTTCAGCTATTACTTTTCAAACTTTTTTAAACTCTGATCAATCAACAACAATCAATAAACCAATCATCAAGAGGACAAAAGTCCCGTGTCCGGTCTCCAGTCGCATGTTTCTCTGTCGTTTACCTTTGCCCGCTTCACTCCTCAACAAAGAAAATTAAGACACACAGAAGCTCCCCTTTGAATTCCCACGATCCTTTTCGACTTCTTCGATATTTGTTCTACCTTTGATTCTCCGGGTAAGTAACTTCTCTCTCTCTTTTTTTTTTTTAACAAAAAATTTTATTAGTTTTTTTTTATTGCTATTATGGATATATGGTCTTTGTTATTTGGATCTTTTTTTTTTTTTCGTAGTTTAATGATTTGGGTTCATTTCAAGCTTGGGTTTTGGAGTTATTATCCTTGGTTTCCTGGTTTTTCTGATTTTTGAGGGTATTTGGAATTCTGGGTTTTATTTTATGTTGTTTATAGAAAAAAAAAGGTAAGAAATTTGAGTGGTGAGTTCAGAAAGCCTTTGATTAATGGAGATCAGGGGGTTTCTGGAACTTGAAATCAAATGGCTGGTGGAATGTTCATTGATACTTAACGGTTAAGCTTTCTCTGCTTCGTTTTTCTTGGAAATAGGTGGAAGAAAGTGAATCTGAGGTTGTTTTGAAGTTTTTTAATTATCAGTTATTTACTTATTTTAGGTTGAGTTGTTTTTTGCTACTTGCTGTTTGCTTCTTAAAAGGTTTCTAAAAGCAAAGCGTATGGTTAGAAGTAAAATAATTGATTTTGTTCTTAAAAGAAGATACCTTTTTAATTATTAATTCTTCAAAAAGATCGTTTGATTTTCTAGCTAAAAGTAGTTTTTGCTTTTGATTTTCAGATGTAAAAGCTAATAGAAAAAGGAACAATTAAGCAGTTCAATTATATCGTGTGAAAAATTGCTTGATGTTGTAATGGAAAGGCTGTTACGTTTTCATCTTAACTATCAGTTTTTTTTAAGTTTCGCTAATGTTGTAAAGGTGGGTGAACTAGCTATAAAAAGAAGGGACCTTTTTCTCCCTATTATGTCTGTGAGTTGTGATTTTGTGTTTTTGGCTGAGGTAGTTGTATGCACTGTATTTGACATCATAAGGAACTAACGGAGTGTGGAAATTTCTTTGTCAGTTTTCATTGAGTGCTATATGGCGATTGTGGCTGATGGTACATAAATGGAAGGAGGAATTTCTTTACAATTTATCCAAATCTATCACATTTTTCCTGGGGATTAATGATACGATCCTTGATGACGAACCCAAAAATCTCACATCGTCCTACCATCTGCTATAGGTCCATACAACCATCTGATTTAGAGATGTTAGAACAAATCCACAGTGACGTATTTCCCATCAGGTAAGAAATGCATCTATTTCCTATTGAGGGTTTCGGTAAAGAGTATTTCTTGCATCTTCAAGGAAAGATATTAATCTCTTCAGGTATGAGTCTGAGTTTTTCCAGAATGTTGTGAATGGACGTGATATCGTGTCATGGGCAGCTGTTGATCGCAGTCGACCTGATGGTCAAAGTGATGAGCTTATTGGATTTGTTACTGCAAGAATTGTACTGGCAAAGGATAGTGAGGTGTGTCATCTATGTGCATAAGTGTATATAATGTATTAATGATATTTGCTTGGTGGTTGAATTATGGCTTAAGCAGCATTTTAAAATGTTTGAATAAGTAGGGCGCATATGGTATAAAAGTTGTTGTGATTCTAAAAGCGAATATATTCTTTTTCTTTTTAATATTGTCATGGAAAGATAATACTGACATTCAACCTTTTGCTTTGTTTTGGGCCCCAAATATTTCTCCTTTTTTTAATAAAGCATTTAAATACTTGCTTCTGGTTGATAAATTGTTTCTGAATCATGAAATTCATTTCAACCAACACCTACCTTGCAGATAGCAGATTTTTTCAGGTATGACTCATCAAAGGAGGATCAAACATTAGTTTATATTCTGACACTGGGAGTGGTAGCTGCTTACAGAAATGTTGGCATAGGTAGGATCCTTTTTCTCTTCTAATGGTTCTTCTTTTTCCTCTTCCTTTTCCTTTCCAATTTTTTAAAAATGTGTCTTTACCTTGTGACCAAAATTTGCTTGGTTTTGAATCAACAGCTACAGCACTTATCAATGAGGTCATTAAATATGCTTCAAGAATACCAGCATGCCGTGCAGTTTACTTGCATGTGATTTCTTATAATAACCCAGCCATTGATTTATACAAGAAGATGTCATTCAAGTGTGTGCGGAGGTTGAATGGGTTTTACTTGATCGATGCCCAACATTATGATTCATATTTGTTCGTTTACTATGTAAATGGCAGTCGTTCTCCTTGCTCACCATTGTAAGTGTAAAATGAACCTTTTGATCATACATGTTGCCATATAAAAATATAAAACTTCAAACTATCTATAATAATTACGGTCCCTGCTAAACAGATAACTAGGCAGAGTTGGTAGAGAACTGGATTTTACTCTTACTTTTTCATTGTTCATTATAACTACCTCATTATAACTACCACTATAGGATGGGAGCACATAGCAATTTAAAAAGCAGGACTTACAGCTAGAGAAAGAAGATCATAACAAGTGGAACAGACAATATTTAGGGCCATGCTCAACTTTCTATCAAACATAGGTCTTAGACAGACTCAGTCAACTAAAAGATTGTCTGGAAGCATGGTGGAACCCTTTCCCCCCACAGTTCCAAAAGAAGCTTAAGAAACATATGGCTTATGCGGTGCAGTGGATGGTTTTCATACTCCTACTTTTATGAACCTTATGAGTAGTAAGTAGGATTCAGGTCTATGGTATTACCAGGACTGAGGGTGTTATTTTAGCTTATGAATATCAAGCCAGACAGCTATTCTCTCTTCTTTGCATTCTAAATGAGGTTTACATATGATTTCATCAATATAGGGAGTAGCCGGAGATTGGTGATGCTCCATGAACAAATCTTGCAATTTTTTAGGGTTTTGTCAGGTGGAAAAAGGTAAATAAGGTTTAGGACTCCAATCGTGGCATAGCTTGCCCTGCCCTATTATACTGTTTACTGGATTGGTAAAAGTATCAGCCCTTGTACTACTTTATTTGGCTCCTAATTACTTAATTTCTATTTTAAGACTGTAAATGTTTTTTTTTTATTTAATTTTTAAATGAGATATGATAAGCCTGTGGAAATCTTGTTTAAAGAATTATGAAAGCAGGAGTCAGAAGTAATTTTGTTGATCTTCAGCTTTGTTTTTCCTTGAGCTTCTTGTGGCCTGTATGGAATATAGTTATGCGCTTTTATGGGATTTTATGTAGGAAATAGGATATTTAAGGTTTAATGACCGTCAAGACTGAAACAGCCAGAGTGGTTTGAATTTTTTATGTGATTAATTTTAAATATCTATGCTCTGGTGCTCTAATCATGAAATCTTATTTTAGAGGCTTTTAGTTTAGGATGCTTGAAGCATTTTCATTTTATTCATGTGGTCCTGTTCAGATTACACTTATAGTCTGTTTATTATCAATTAGTCCAAGTTCAAGTTTGGGACAATTACTAGAAGGAAGAATAGTTTATGAGAAATTTCCAGCAGATGATTAAGCTCTTGAGACTTTAGATTTTACATTGAAATTCTACCAAAGGTTTAATACCTAGCATTTTATCTTTTCTGTCACTTGAAATGTTCAAGAATGGTTCTCGTTTGTGTGGTATGTTTAGATTTGATGTTGTTTTTTAAGGCCGGGTCCCCCCAGGCTGCAGGAGGTTTTCTATTAGTTATTTTAGTTAAAATAATGTAGCAATGCTTTTCTTGATCATATTAATTCTTGTCGTTCAGTGACCATGTAACTCTAGAGAATCAGAATGCAGGATCGACTTTTTTCCCTGGCTGTAGGTGTTCTACAAACAGAGTCATAAAAGCTTTATTCCTAATATTTAGGAAGATCTTGCTTTAGTAGAGGCTAGAAAGGAGCATTCTCAGAACTTTGCCATTGTTCCTTCTTCAGGATAAGTCTGCCTGATTTTTGTCAAGATGACTCTCGTCGTGCTGGCTATGATAGCCAGACTATAATCAGAGGAGTCTATAACCTGACACAATTATGCTATATTTTTCATGTCACTAAGCAACAATAGTGTGAGACCTTTTGGTCAAGCAAAGTTGAAATCTTCAATCTTCCTAGCAAGACACTGCTTTTGGTTTGTCTCTTGAAAACATAAAGCTTCTTTATGATAGCAGCTCTGCAACTGGGATATTAAATATTTTGCTTCCATTTGTTTTTTTCTCCCATTACTAGCATTGCATTAGAATATTTTTTCTGCCTGCCAAACTACTTTTAAGAACTGGATAATTGTTTTTGTGGAATAACTGTTCTAAACCTGTGTTCTGCAGAGAGCTTGTTACAGTTGTTGTTAGTTGCATGAAGACTGGTCTGAAGTCTGTTGCCGCAAAGCTGATGAAGAACGAAGAGAAGACGGTGAAATGGCCTAAATGTAAAGAAACTCGTGGTCTCATATCGACACAAAATAAGAGAATGATTAAAACTGAGTGTTCAGGATGCGAGTATGTTTAACAAAGTGTAGTAGCTGTGGCTGACATATTCCAAGAGAAAATAAAAAATTTCAATGGCTAGCATATACTCTCCTTACCCCCTCCGCTTTTCTCCTTCATCTGTTGTTCCCTAAAACAAAGAGAAAGAGAAAATTGTTACATTGTAGTAGCTATTGTATTCTTAAATAATAAGTTCAGTTCTAATGTGTATTTCTCTCCTCTCTTTGTGTTGGATTCGCTTATGCTGCATGGAATTTTCCAATTAGATTGATTTCGAAGACTGTAGATACGGATGACAACGGGTCGGAATAAGTTTTTGTTCGTTTCGAATTCGATCTGATTTTATATCTATAAAACTCGAATTTGATTTGATTTAGACTCAAAATTTTTTTTCATATCCGAACCCGACTTGATATGATATTACGTAAATCATATTCGATTTAACCAAAAATTAATAAAATATTATTTTTTAAATATAAAATATTATTTTTTTAATATATATAAAATTAAAAAATATATAAATATATAAATAAAAAATTAAAAATAATTATATATATATTAAGTTGAGTTGGGTTTGTCTAAAATCTAATCTCGATTTTTTTTATTATTATTCGATTTGACTGACTCGAAATCCGATTTAAAAAAAAAAAAAGTAATCCTATGAGATTGTGTTGGGTTTAACGGGTTGGACTGTCAACCTTAAAAAAGTAAAAAAGTTATCCCTTATGTGGAAACAATGTGATCTATTTTGACTTTAAAAAATGGGTTATTTTCATGATTAACCTAAAAAAAATTCAAAAATTTGAATTTTAAATTTTTTTAATGTGATATCTAAATTATGAGTTAATTAATGTGATACTCATTTTTAACGTGATTAATTTTAAATGATATGTTGTGATTACAAAACTCTCTAAGTACAACACTAGTTAGTAAATTCATAATTCATGTACTATATTAAAGATTTTTAAAATTTAAGTATTATATTAAATATTTTATTATAGCTTAGAGGTCATTCATAATATTAATATAAAAAAATCAAGTAATTCACAATATAAACGATGAATAATTTATATATATATTATTAATAAAGTGGTTAGTTGAATTTGACATTATTAGAGCTGACGATTCATATATTTATATTGTATTTATTTCGTATCAAAATATGTAAAATATGAAAATTATCGTATTACCATTTGCAATAATGTGAAATATATTTTTTTTGTTAAATTTATATGTGATTTTAATTTATCAAAAATTTAAAAATTATATATATTTTTATCATTTTTGTTATCATATTATATTTAAAATTATCAAATTTAGATGTCACTTAATTAAGATAGTAAAATTAATTCAATTAGTAAATTAATATAAAACTCGAATAAGATCATAATAAATAACTAAATATATATAATTAAAAGATATAAATATTATTTAACATAAATTTTAAATAAATTAATTTTATTTAAAAAATGTTCACATGAAAAAATAACTCAATATTTATTTTATAATTATATAATTTCTTTTTTTTTCAACTTATTTTTTTTTCTTTTACGTGACGAAAAAAACCAATCAAATTACGTCCATATAATTTTAATTAATTTTACACTTTTTTATAAATTTTATATATGATTAATATTTTAAGAAAACCCACTTTTGGATTTAACATATAATTATATCCATTATGGATCCGTAATGAATGTGTCAAAATCTAATTATATAAATGTTGTTGAGATGAGATGAAATCATATTGATAATCTGTTTTGAGGATGTCTTTCCTTTGGTAACATTGATGCCAGCTTCCTTTGACCAATTCTTACATCTACCTTTGTTTTAAGTACCTCATCCTCCCCTTTGCTCGCAGGATTCATTTCATAGAATTCATTTGTTTTTTCAGTCAAAATTGTCTAACTTTTACCATTCCTAAAATGGATATCAACCTCTTCCAAGGATCAATCAATGATTTGACTCCCTAAAATAGCCTATATCATGCATGCCTATATATATTTTTCAACACATTCCAAGGCCAAACACAATTTACAACAATGGCATCTTCTTTCTCTCATTCAATTCGCCTCCTCTCTCTTGCCCTCTTCTTGCTCCTCTTATTCACTCCCTCCCTCGGCCAGGTTCACGGCTACGACCCCTTTACGTCGAAGGCGGTAATGACCCATCACGGCGGGCCACTCCTGACCGGATCCCTCAACGTAGCCCTCATTTGGTACGGTAACTGTGGCAGAGTCCAAAAGAGTACTATTAGGAACTTCGTCAAGTCTTTGAACAATGAAGGTGACAGAACCAACCTCCAACCTCAAGTTTCCAGCTGGTGGCAAGTGGTTGAAAGCTACCAATCCGCAGTGCCAGGATCACCCCTTGCAGGACGTCCAAGCCCAAAAATCATTGTGAAGGTGGTGAAACAAGTTACTGATCTTACATATAAGTATGGGAAAATCTTGACTACTTTAGATTATATTCCAAAGCTTGTCCAAGATGCTACTAATGGAGATCCCAACCTCTTTCCCATCATCGTAACCGCAAGAGATGTCACTGTACAAGGACTTTGCACTGGAAAATGTGCTGATCATGGAGTTGTTGGTAAGTTTTCAGTTTCCTTCTTTTTCCTGATAAATTTGATAAGGTCCCCTAAATCTTTCATAAAATCACAGATAGCAATAAGCCATACATCGTAGTTGGGAACCCAGAAACGGAGTGCCCTGGAGCATGCGGTTGGCCCTTCCACCAGGCTGACAATGGGCCAAAAGGGATGGTCCTACAACCGCCAAATCTCAATATGGCAGCTGATTCAATGGTAATTGCCTTGGCAACGGCATTGGCTGATACAGTCACCAATCCTCTAAGCACTGGCTTCTACAATGGAATCCAGTTAAATCCAATCGGCCCGGGCTTGGCTTGCCGAGGCATCTTTGGCAGTGGTTCTTTCCCTGGAAACCCTGGCAAGGTCCATATTGACCCCACCACTGGAGGGGCCTTCAATGCTCATGGAAACAAGGGCAGGAAGTTTTTGCTTCCTGCAATTTGGAACCCCAAAACTTCTTCCTGCTGGACTCCCATGTAGAGGGGATTTGCTGATTGAAAAAGCAATATGAAAATTTCTTTGAAATTGGTTTCTTGACCTTTTTTTTTTTTTTTTTTTGCTTTTCATACATGAGTTTTTTGTTTGTACTATTATTCCATAAATCGCGATGTAATTTCTACATCTCATTAATCGAATTAAAATATTATTATATATTTCATTATTTATTATATTTGTGTTATATATCTAACACAACACCTACTCTTTTTTCTCAAAAAAAAAAAAAAAAAACCTATCCTTTTTGGATCGACATGGAATTATTCCCATTATTAAGGGCATTAACGATATTTTTGGTAACAAAATATTAGAAGAGAGTTAGGCTTTGATCAAATTGATTTTTTTTTTGTGCAATTGTTTGGGGTACATAATTTTTTTAGGTTAAAATTTCCTTTCTCTTAAATTTAATTTATCTCCATCTTTGGTGAAGTTGATGAAATTGTGGAGTTTGTCTCCTCTCCTTAGTCTTTTATTGAAGATAGGAACATGCTCTCTTCTCTTTAAATACTACACCTCAAAAGAAAAGAATGTTGATCTCAGTTATGATTAGATTGTAATCAAATTGTATCAAGTTGATTTAATGTTTAAATTTAATTCAATTTAATTTAAAAATTAAAAATTAAAAATTTGATTTGAATTAAGTGAAGTTTCATTTTCACATTTGAATTGGCTAATAATTTATTCAAGCAATTTAAGTTTGGCGCTAAAAAAGAAAAATATTAATACAGAAATCAAACATTTTATTTTCATCATAGATTTTTATATATATATATATATATATATATATGAAATATATCAGAATATATTTGAAAAAATAAAAAGTTTGATTAGATGTATTAATCTTTTAAGTTAAACATTAAAATATTTAAATTTAATTTGACTCGTTATTTTAATAATTCAATAATAATGAGTCAAACTCAAATATTTATTAAATCAAACTTGAATAATTTGATTTGTTTATATCCTAATTGTGATTATAATTTGTTTCATTTCTTTTATACATGTTTTTAGTATATGTGCTATTAAAAATATATTTATAAAAATTAATTAATTAATTACTAAGTAAACATATAACTATATAGAATAATATTCTTACTTATTTTTACTCCATATTTAGGATTTTTTTATGACACACAAGTTATGAGGAAAAATGTTTTTCAAAAAATATAATTTTTACTTTTGGTTAGAAGTGTTTATGGGTTGAATTGAATTTGGGTCGAGCTCATATTTGATATTAAATGTTTATATATTTGTTCAGACTTAATTCGGTTCGAAAGTTTGAGTTTTAATTTTTTCAAGACCAATCTAAATTAAAAAAAATTTTTTAAACTCATTCATTAAACTTAATTTATATAATAAAAAATTTAAAAAAATATTATTAAATTAAATTTAATGGGATTTTATTCAATTCACATATATTAAAATAAAATAAAAATATATAAAACTTAAAATCAAAATTATATAATAGTAAATATTAAATTTAATAATTATATAGTTTTTATTTTTAATATATATATAAATTAACTTATATATAATTCACATATATATAAATAAAAAATTCATATATATGTAATTTGGGTTGAGTAGGACTGGATTTGAATTTAAATTTTTTATCCAAGACTCAATCTAAAATTTAAACTTACCTAAAAATTGTGTCCAAATTTATTTAATAAATTTTAATTTTTTATTCAAATTTTCTCAAAATTTAAACGAATTTTTGGATTTGGATGGAGAGCTTGACTTTTGAACATGTCTATTTTTAGTTAATAAAAAATTTATCCATATTTTTACTCTTTTAATGCGATATATAGTTTTTTTTTTTTTTAACAAAAGAAGTACAGCCTAAAGATAAAAATATCAATTGCATTAAAATTTGAACTTAAGACATGTTAAATTATTACATAATTATTATTTGTGAACAAAACAAAAATTGCCAAAAAAATAGTAAAGGCATAAAAATGGAAAATGAGAAAATAAATAAGGGGCTTCAAAATGATATGAGAAATGGGCCAACTTGACATCCAAAGCATTTAGAAGAAACCCCAAAAAGCCCAGTCCAAAAGCCACATAAGTAGGGCTGTCCCTAGCCCTGGGTCGAAATTTTTGAAAGGCAAACACAAACTTTTCCATGAACGAGTTACCACTGAGTTACTCAGCTACAAAATCGTCAAGGTTTTGGTTTTCCTCTCGGAACTCTTTGAATTGGTAATCTCTTATTACGTTATTTTCTTATAATTATTTACATTCTTATTTAATTGTCTCAAAGTTTGGACAATTCTTGTTCAGAATATTAATTTCATTTTTTCCCTGAAAAATGTCTAATTTGTTATAATCACCCATTTTTTATATGAAATTTAGTTAATTTTTTTCTTTTGATTTATATTTTTGTTGATATATCCTGTTTAGAAATATAGAAAAAGATTAAATCTTGGTAAGGAGAAAAAATCAAAAGAAAGAAAACAAAGGGAACAATGAGCAATTAGGTAAACAGAAATATAATCTGTCGTTTTCTTGTTGGCGAGTTTTTAGTTTAACTGTTTGTTCTGATTCCGAGTGTGTGTGCTATGTTTCAACGTTTAGTTGTTTCAATTTTCATTTTCGTGTCTTGTACGGATGATATTGTGGAGAGTTTAGGATGGTATATGTTTCATTATTGTAGTCAAGGCGATTGATGCTCGAGGTTTGTTCAAGGCATACTTTCTTTAGTAAAATGACGTTTCACGATATGCATGGCATTTTATTTGAAGTAATTCATGAACTGATATTGATGCTCGTGATTTGTTCAAGGCATACTTTCTTTTTGTTAAATGACGTTTCACTTCTAGTTATTGCCGATATGTATTTGAAGTAATTCATGAACTGATGTTGCAGGGTTGGGAGAATAATAGGACGTTCAGATGTTGGGGAAAGGAAGGAAAGTGTCTGGTAGGGGAGAGATGGTGGCTGCTAATTATGCATTTGGCCCAGCTGAAGATGATATGATTATTAAACACAGGCTTCTGACACGTACCACTACTACTAGAGGTGAGCCTCCATTGAAGAAACTTCAAAGGAAGTTTACCTCATTTGTACTAGAGGTTGAGAAGGATGAACATAACTATAATGATTGTGCAAAACTTTCCAAGGCTTTCTTACAAGAGTTGTCTACTTTTGAGATTCCTTTACTAAAGAGTAAAGCTGTTATTGATGCAAATCTTAGAGAGAAGGAGAATTTCAATGAGTTAAAAGATGAGATAAATAGGCAGATATTGCAGGCACAGACTGACATAGAAGATCTAAAGAAACAACTAGAAGAAAGTAAGATTGAGAGGCAGCACAAGGAGGAGTGTGAGGCGATTAGGAAATTGATTTCTGCACAGCCACCAAGATCAGAGACTCAAAAACGTATAGCAGAGTTAGAGAAAGAGATTGCAGCATTGGAGGCGGAGAATACTGCTGGTTCAAGGTTGCTGGAGCTTCGGAAGAAACAGTTTGCCCTGTTATTGCATGTGGTATGTTAGAATCTGCTTGTAACTTGCATGCATTTGCCTGTGTTCCTGGTCCAATCTTATTGCCTGTGATATGTTAAAGTCTGTGTGACACATTTTGGGTTCACTAATGTTTCTTTCTTGTGTGAATATGATCTCTTGAAATCATTCTCTATATATAACACATTCTTTATCTGAATAGCGTTCTCCATATTTAGTTCTCTTTTGAGTTTAAAATATTTCCTAAAATTGCTCATGCAGTTGTGTTGCTGACAGTGATGGATTTTAACATTTAACTTTGATAGGACCATAAGTAACATTCTTTGTAAAAATAAAATCATTATATATATTTTTACATTATTAACACATTATCTTATCATATTTAATATTTTCAATATTAAAATTAAGTAAAAAAATCATAAAAGTTATATCTTTTAAATAAAAATAGACTTTAGAATAATAAAGTAGACTTTGATATGATAAATTGAAACCTTCTAATTTTTTAAATGGTATTTTTATATTATAAAAATGAAAAGGTACTTAAGCTAATAATTTTTATTATTTTGGCATGTAATAATTTAAAAATATTGAGCATGCAGGATATAGCAAGAAAAAAATGTTTTAGTTGAAAAAAAGGATCACAATTGGATATTTGTCAATTCGGTATTAGTTATTATGATACTTGTATATATGTTAAATTTAACTCTACAAGTTTCTAAAAATATAGTAATGACAAACTTATTAATTTTAAATTGAAAATCATTTATAATAAACAAACCTAAGTTAAACAGTGATAATGTTTAGATATAAATAATTTTTTGTTATTATATATCCAATATAGATATAAAGAATAAAGAATAATATAAATGAACACAATGAATTTAGGTTTGAGGGGGTCTAATTAATTTTTATAAAAAGTTCTAAATTATTAAGAAAAATAGTTTATGTATAAAAAAATTTTCAAAATTTTTTGGGGGCCATGGGCTCCAATGAGCATCTGCCATTGTGCTCCTGGTATTCCCTTCTTAAAGTTGATACATATTTACTGCAGTGCCTGGGTTCATCTAGATTCTGAGTTTTTGTTTGTTTTCTTTTGCACACTAGCTCCTAAATTTTTCCTTGTGGGATTTAGTAAACTTTCTCACTAGATGGATATGAGAGAGCATGGTTTATCTTTAAGCTGTAAAGATTGGAAAATAGGGATGAAGCCATTAAAAAGTTAGTGGATGGAACTTATATCTGTTCTTTTTTTATCAGGATTTTTTTTTGGTATGTACAACTTTATTTTTGATGAGATTTTTAACATATTGTTTACTTAATATATTCTTTCAAGGGAAACTTCAGTTATTTGAGTTGGATAAGCAGATTGCCACTAGAAAAATTCCATATTACCATATGGTGAATATAGCTTGGTCTTTCTATTATTCTAAACCATATACCCATATAGTGAATTTATTGTTTCCTTAATACATTATTTCAAGAAACTTCAATTATTTGAGCTGGATAAGCAGATTGCCGCTAGAAAAATTCCATATTAACCTTATGGTGAATGTAGCTTGGTCTTCCTATTATTCTAACTCCTACATGAAGCTTCTAAGATCTTCTATTGGCATCAAGCACTAATTTTTTGCTGTTCTCAAACAGGAATTCACCGCTATAGGTGCCCACATTCCTTAATGACTTGTGCGGATATAATTTGGAATAAGATTGCTCCAATATGCTTTATTATGGTCTTTTCTAACATTTACTCTTGGCCAAATCAACCACATCACCATATTTTAGATTGCAATTTAAATTGAATGGTACCATCTTAAAATTCTGAAACTGAGTATTGTTCATGTTTGGTGATTGTGCTTCATTAGTTTGAGAGGTATTTGTCAGCATTTGTATCTGTTGTCCTTTCTTTGGATTCTGTTATCCTCTATGAAGTGCCATTCTGTGTTGTCATTTTCGGAATTGTGTTTTCCATGATAGTGGATAAATTGGTAGAATGATGGATCTGCAGTTTGCTAAACCACTTAAAGGACTGTTTGTATGATGTGTTAATAATTAAAATTTGACTGTGTTACATCAACTTTCATGCAGGTGGATGAGTTACAAAATACCATTGAGGAGGAACAAAAGAGTTTGATTGAGGAGATGAGAATGGTGACTGAAGAACAGAAGAGTGGAATGGAAGATGCCAGTGGAGGCTCAGAAGCCATGGCTGTTGATTAGCTGGGTGCTGCACATACGTTTTGCAGTTGTAAGGTCAGAGGTGAAGCCAAAAATATGAGAAAGGAGGGGCCAAATAGTAATTTTACTAGGAAAGTGGGGACCAAGTATTGTTTTTGGTGTGATGAGGTATTCTGCTACAATGGTGGTGTGATAAGGCATTCTGCTACAATGGTGTAAAAAATATCTTTTTGAAGGGGGGCGGGGGAAGTTGTGGCACTAGCTGCGCCTCTGTGTAAGGCTGTTTACTTCTAAATCATAATCTGTTTCCGTTCATGCAAATATTTGAGTTCAATGTCGTGGAACATAAAAATATTCTTTAACTGTTGTTTGTGATATATTCTGATAATAGTTTTTATTTTCTTACGATATTTGATGCATATGGTACCATATGATTCGATTAACTACAAAATCGATACATATTTATATAGACAAATGATTTTATTATGAATTAGTAGCACATTTATTGATGCATTAAGTGAATTGATGCATGAGTGTGTATATGTATATGTATATTTCGATATGCTTGTAATGAATTTAGATCATATTTAATTAAAATTTAATCAGAACTAATTACCTAAAAATGCAATTTTAATAATTTTTCCCAAAAAAAACTTATAAACGTATTCTCTAAATATTTTAAATTTAAACAATATGAAAATTTTAGACTTTTAGTTGATAATTTGACAGTAAAAATACAAGAAAATTTTATTTAAAAATATTTAATATTAAAGAACATGTTAGAGAGCTTGAAATATAATGATATTTTTTATTTGTCATATAATCACTTAATCCTATTAATATGTATAATATTTTTATTTTTATTTATTTTACATGTATATATTTATATATATTATTTATAATTAATTTTAAAATTTATCATATCTCGATTCTCAAAAATAAGATTTTGACTTAGGATATTTATTTCGATTTAACAACTATGATAATGATTTACAATTAACTATGGATACGGAGGGTGGCCTACACCTCTTCTTAGGTGACACTACTAATCTAGATTTAACAACTATGATAATGATTTACATTAATTAACAAGGGATGAGGAGAGGTGGCCTCCACCGCTTCTTACGTGATACTACTTTGTTACTTAGTTTATCAATGTATTAATGTCGAGAATAATTTTTGAATTATAATTAGTAAAATATTTAATATGATATTTGAATTTAAAATTTTTTTAATGTGATATTTAAATTATGAATCTGTTAATTAATATAATATTTAGAGAATTATTTATTTGTCATTTGTATTATTTAAAATTAATAACGTTAAAGATGAATATCATATTATTTAATAAATTTATAATTTAGATATTATATTAAAAATTTTTAAAATTCAATTATCACATTCAATATTTCACTATAATTCAAAATCATTCCTAACATTAAATCTTTATCAATTTTCCTCTTGATATTATAGTTCTTGTTTAAACAAAACTAATGGAAGTAGTTATTTAAAATTGGTTTCTTTTTTAAAATCCATGTGCCCTTAGTATTATGGTCTTGTTTAAACAAAATTAATGAAAGTAGTTTCCTTAAATTTGGTTTATTTTTTGAAATCTATGTGCTCAGTTGTATAGGAACTGAAAATTCTGTGGCCTCTTTATCTGGTTGCATCAGAAATTCTTGTATTCTCATTTTCTTTGGTTATGAAGTGCCTTGTTTAACTTTTTGGAATAATGAGCTGGAACCATGTTCTATCTTAGGAACAATCTCTGTTTGAATTCTTTTTGTGAATGACAATGAAATGAAAAATGTTGGAAGCAAAAAGATCAATAATGTTACATTATTCAGTGCATGTTTGATGGTCTTCACATTTCTTCAGCTGCAGTGAAATAAAATATATTGGAGCTTGGATGCCAAAAGCATGGATTAGTAGTGGTTTTAACGTGACAGTCTGATAATTCTTTGTAAGTTCTGAAAGTTTTGCGGTGGATGTTTACAGTTGAATTAAGCATGCAGCAGCTAATTTTCAGTTCAGATTGTATCAATTGTCACCTTTTTTGTATGATATTGATATCAAAGCAAACACTAATGCTAGTCTTAGATTTCATCCTTGGAGATTTTGAGTACATCTCTATTTTTTGCGGTTGCTTCTCCCGGTCAGTCATGGTGAAGACATAAAAGATTCAATGCAATACGAGGAGCAAGATTCAAGTTCCATAAGAGGACCAGAAACTCTCTGTCATCTTTGTCCTATTTGATCTAGTCAATAGCAGTTTTGAGCTCTTTTCCTGGTGATGCAAAGCTTCCCATCGACTTCTAGAAAATTTCTTCAGATGTTGCAGTATTGATGCTTACATGTTATATATATCCAAAATATATGTAAGCTTAAGGTCTATTCCTGCTTAGCTGGCCTACTATATTTAAGTTGTGGGTGGACTTAGCTTGATCCAATTGGAGTTCCTTTCCTAAGTTTAGAACAATAGTAATCACTGTTTTATGTTTGTCTTATCCTCTCTTAACCTTGAATCTATGATGGAAACATCATATTCAATCCTGACTCTTTAGAATAATCACTGATTAAAGAAGTTTCCTACCTAATTAAGCCGGCTGGTCCGTTCGTTCATCTGTTTTCTACATTTCCCTTTTCACCTTCGGAGCCTTAATCATCTTTAGGGTTAGTTTAGCATTACTGTTGTGGTTGAAAAATTTTAAATTGGGAAAATTGTGTTAGAAAATTTAAGTGTTTAATATTATTGTGAAAAAATACTGTGTGTAAATAAAGTATATAAAAATATATGAATAGAATGAAAAATATTAAAAATATAAGAAAAATATAGTTATTTTCTATCCCAAACATTTTTTTTTTATCATAAAAGCACTTCCTGAATAGTTTTTTGATTTGAGTTTAAAAACTATCTTTTAGATTGAAAAATCATATATTTTTATTGTTTAGTATTAAAGTTGGATTAAAAATAGCTTTTGAATGCAAAAATTAATTTCAACATAAATAATAAACTAACCCTTAGTCCATACTAAAGCATATATGCACTTGGGAGAAGATATATATTGCTGTCGTTGTGACTATTATCATAGCCTAGATTTGAATTCTCTAATTATTGTGCGTCTGCAAATATATTATATATATATATGTCAATATGTTACGGACTTAAAGAAAAAGTCCTGAATCTTACATTGAACATAATAAGAGGGTAATTTGGGTATAAAAGGGTTCACAACACCTCTGTCTTGTGAGGCGTCTTTTGTAGGACAAAACCGTGAGGCCAGGGGGGTCAGAGCGGACAATACCTCATAAAGGTGTGAATCGTGGCAGTTAGACTGATCCGGGACGTCAGAAGGGTGAATGTCCGGGTTTCAGAGCAGCACGGGTCGGAGTTTAAGTCTCGACCCGTGACAAGTGGTATCAGAGCCAACCCTAAACCGTTCGATCCACGTCGAACGTCTCGAGAGAGGTAGACAGGGATGGCTAGCCTCCGTGACGATGGCGTCACGAGATTGAGTGGAGGAGAGTGTCATGCACTTAAGGAAGAGTTCTGAATCCCACATCGAACATAATAGGAAGGTCATTGGGGTATAAAAGGGTTCACACCACTTCTACCTTATGAGATACCTTTTCGTGAGGTTAGAGGGGTCAGAGCGGATAATACTTCACAAAGGTGTAAACCGTAACGGTCAGGTTGATCCGAGACGTCGGAAAGGTGAATACCTGTATCTCAGAGTCGAGCGAGTCGGAGCTTAAGTCTCAACCCGTGACAAATGAACATTTAAAACAAAATTTTGTCGTGAATTAGTTCTTTCCATGGATGTCCCACCAAGTATCTTTCAACTTTCGAAATTGTTTCTTTCCTTTCTTTTTGGATGAAATATAGATATTTAGCCAAAAAAAAAAGGATATGTCAAATACCTCATTTAAACAAAGCCTAAGGTTTAAAGAGAAATTTAAATTGGATTTCAACTTCTAGCAACGTATCTAGATAGTTGTTTGGTCTATTAATAAAATATTAGATTTTTAAGTTTAATGATCATGATTCAAATTCTTATAATCTCAAAATCTATGCCTTAAAAGTTGGACAAACCATAAAGGGTCGGGACCAGCCACAACTAAGGCCTAGCTTGGAAAGGTCAATCCAACATGATGATCAGCCACACCGTCTAATGTCAAGATTCTCAGGAATAGGCTCATATCCTCATAAAATGTAGCAAATTCCTTTTTTTTTTTTTTCCAAGTTCTTTTATTCACATAATGAGGTTACACACTCCTGATCGTATTACCAGAAAGAAAAATATTTTTTTGTATACAAGGGGAATTCATTAGATTGGTTTTGGATCCCTTACAAAAACTATTTCTTTCCTTTTTTTTTTTTGTATGAAATTCATTGAATCTTAAGTTATATAACAATAGTTTTCTTTTCTCCCATAATAAATATAATTTCTTTTCAAAAGTAGATAGTAATGCAAATAATGTTTTTTTTTTACAAAAATGTGCATTATATATATATATATTGTGAAAGGAATTTACAAATATAAAAATTTAACAGAAGAAACCTAAAAATATTGCTGAACTATATTTTTCAACATAAAATTTTGTGATTTAGCCCTGTGAAGTAACAATCAACATATTTGGCAAGGTAGGTAAGGTTTGTTTTTTAAAGGTCAAATAGGATACCTACTATATATCAAGTCCCTTCCTGGACGAGGTTAGCTTGTGAACAGGGTTTTCCCGCAAACCTTCTTATACTCTTGTTTAAAAAATAAAAAATAAAAAATAAAAAAATATTTATTTTTTTATAGATAAAAATTTAGTTAAAGAGAAATTACTCTTCAAGACATACCATAAATTTCAATGAGGATTTACATTAAATTTATAGATCATCCATAAAAAAAAAAATGCTGACAACAAGAATCGAATTTAAATCTTACAAGTTTACCAAGTTAATCAAGTTATTGGCAAAAACTGCATTTATTATTGTGCTTATTTTCATCTTTCCCTTCTATCTTAAGGCAAATAAAGATACAATTAAAGTTGAGTTTGAAATTACTAAAGCCTTCATAATATATAGCAACATTTTTTCAACAACTGTAAACAACAGATGACAACTTATTGATGACCCTCTCTTACTGCAACACACTTCCTTATTATTCTAGAAAATAACAAATTAAATGAGAGATAGAAAGAGACAGTTAGGTATTTGGATGGCTTGCCTTTAGAGCTTTGCATCAATAATCAATTTGCTTCTATTAAGTGGAAATAGTCTCACCTAATGAGTAACAAATAGTCTTGACTTTTTATCATGAGGCAGATGTAACCATCTATTAGTTTAGCAACATTGCTTTTATCATTATTTTGTTTGGACTTGCTTTTTGGAATATATTAATATATATTTTATTTCAAATAGGGTCATTGTTCATGATCATCTTCATTGATACAAGTTTGACATGAATTTGTCCCCTTTGTACATCCAAATCCAATATTGTCAAACCCCTTTTCTAATTCAACAAAAAATAGGTCTTTTTCAGTACTCATCAATTTCGTGTCCAACCCTATCTACAACTAACTTGTTTTATATTCATCCACTGCTTTTCCCCGTCTCCTCTTTTTCTTTCTGTGATTGACGAATCCAAAAATGAAAATGTGCATAATTCACCACATAAATTCAACAGTTGCGTGATATCTATTGATAGAGTGTTCAACTCTTAATCTATAGTTATTGTGGAAATTTAATTAAACAAATTGAAATACACCAAGAACTGAAATAGTTAAGAAACAAGAAGTCTTTCTGAAAATATATATAGAGAAAAAAAAATCAGAGGTGGGTATTACACAGAATATGAAATAACTATGTTTTTTCTTTAGACAATGGCACCTGGCCTGTATTTGTTTATTCTTTCTATTTGAATCTAGTGAAAAACCAATTCTTAACTGAGAAATAGCTGGATCTGTCTACAAATTATTAAACCAAACTCTTGATATATTCAATCCCAAAAGCTCCATTTAACTAAGAGATAGGCCATGACTGTGATGATGCCTGGCTGCAAATCAAGAAAAATGAATTATAAATAAATGAACAAAGTGTTTATTCAGCAGTGGTTTTTTTTTAATAATGGCAAAAAAAGAGAATAGAAAATGAGGTAAGCAGTGCATTAGTTTAGTCCACAAGACAAATAGACTAATATTAATATATAATTGAAAGAGAAATTTTTATACTTACTCTATAATATCTCTCCAGTAAGAGTCACTTGCTTCATCATCCATAAGATCTCCCCAAGCTTCAAAGGTGGTTGAAGTAGATGAAAGGTTAGAGATATCCTTTTGGTTAAAATTCTTGTTTTCAGTTTGATAAACAGTGGCGGGAAGACGTTCGGGTGAGGCTGGAGCTAATGCTGGAAGCTGAAGTGGAGTTGAAGTTGGATTAATAGAAGGAGATGAAGAGGAAGAAGCAAATTGATCATTGTTGGTGGAACAGATTTTTGAGTCTTTCATTGGCTGATGATATTCACTGAACTGTGGTTGATGTTGAGATGCTTCCAAGTTGAGAAAACTTGACTGTAATTGAGTAAGTTCATGTGGAGCAAAACCAAATGGGAGATTACTATTCCCTTCAAGCTGAGATTCATATAGCTGATGGTTTCCCCGGAAAGTTGGTCCTGCTAGAAGATTCATTATTACTTCTATAGTTGGAGGAGTACAACAACTACTACTACTAGTACTACTTGTACCTAAAACTTGAAGTATGTTATGCATCAATTGGATTTTGGCAAGCTGTGCAGCATCTGACTGCAATCTGAGAGCATTGTCTAAAGGATTATTGATCAGGTTACTAAAGTTGACAGCAGCAAGCAGCTGTGGCAGGTTAGCTAGAATGTTGAGATCAGTTCTTGGCCTGTGAGTCACTGGATCAATCCCCATTTGGAGAAGCTTCTTCTTGAGATGGGTGTTCCAGAAATTTTTAATTTCATTATCTGTTCTTCCAGAGAGATGGGTTGCTATTGCAGACCACCTGCCAAGTTAAAACATATTATTATTAGCCAAGGGGCTGTGGTTTAGCTATTTGGCTTTTAAAGAAGAAAGTAAAAGAGAGTTTACTTATTGCCAAGAACTGCATGAAGATTGATAATAGTTTGCTCTTCTTCCTCCGAAAACTTTCCTCTCTTGATATCAGGCCTGAGATAATTTGTCCATCTAAGCCTGCAACTTTTGCCACACCTGTTTAATCCAGCTAGCTTTGGAAGTGATCTCCAACTTCCATGCCCATGTTTCTGAATGTAATCGACAAGAATATGGTCTTCCTCTGGCGTCCAAGGCCCTTTTTTCAGGCCATTTTCATCACGGCGAGGCGATCTCCCCATCATCCGATTGCTGAAACAACAAAACCAGCATATGATAATGAGAAAGTTATTAATCTCACTTTGTTACACTAGCTACTACAATAATTCAAGCAACAAGTAGAAGGATTAAATAAAGGCTTGAAACCTTTGATTGGATTATGGGAAAAGAGCCGAAGAAAGATAGGATATAGTTGGCGTTGGAAATGTGACTGAATGTGAGCTTCTTTATATAGTGTGTGGATTGATGTTTTAGAAATTAAAGGACAAAAAAAGCTTAGGATAGGATAGAAGTATTTGCCCTGTGAGAATATGTCATCTTGAACTGACATGTTTTTCATGGTATTATAAAAGAAAATTACTATGGTATGCTTGTCTACAAAGTTGAATTGTCTAATAATAAAGTTTTTTTTTTTTTGCTAAAGGGTAAAAAAACCCTTAAGTGTATCATTTAGGTTCTTTTTCTCTTTTTTTTTTTTTTATTGCAATCAATTCTTTTAACATTTATTTACATCTAATTAAATTTTTATTTAATTAAAAAATTATCATTAATTTTTTTACAAATTAACGTAAAATTTTATGTGATATCAATAAAATGAATTAAAATTTATCATATGATGTAATTATTATATTTAAAAATTAAAACAAAAGACTTTTTTTTTTCATTTTTTAAAGTTGTTTTTCTCTTTCTAAAATCCTCTAAGAGTTTAATTTATAGTTTATGAGTTAATTGATTAAACTTTATCACATGATTGAATTCTGTTCATTTTAAATTAAACCGGAAAAAAAATTAATGGCTTAATTAATTATAATAAAATATTAAAAATTTAAATGATTATTGAATTATTATTTAGAGATATTTTTAATCTTTTAACCAATTTTTTCCCATAAATAAGGAAAAAAATGCCTATGGTTTAAATTATTAATTAAGTTCACATCATTGACCGGATATTCCTAAATCAAATTAAGGTTCATGGCGGCCTTTTATTAAATAAATCCTCATATTTGTAGGCTTTATATGCATTTATAATTGTTTAAACATGTTGGGTAACCAAAAGGTGTATTTAAAACTTTTTATTAAATATGTGTTTCGATTTGATTCCAATTTCAAAAGGAATGGTGGACCATACCAGATATCATAAACACAAATCAAATGGCTTGCCTATTTTACTTTAATTATTTATTGATTGTTATATGGTCCGAAGGACTATGCTAACAGTCATGTGATTTATGGTATTTTAGTTTCGGTTATTAAGATTTTTTTGACAAATTCAAATATAAAAAATCCAAAAAACTGTCAATCAAAGGTATTAAATCATATTTATCGTTGAATTTCAGATTGTTTACATGTATTGTACATATTTTTGTCTTTTCACATCAGATTTGCGCAATTTAACATCTTATAAATTATTTATAATCGGAAAAGATTTGACATTTTGTCATGATTTTGAACTAATTCATTAATTTATAAATTAATATTTCAGATATTATATTAAATATTTTATTATAATTTAAAAATTATTAATAATATATCTAAAATAAAATAAAAACAATAATTTAAATAAAAAATTGTATATTTTGAAGGGTATTATGGGAATTAAAATTATAATATTTGGTACCCAAATTTCAACCCTATTTTACATGACATTCCCTTGTTGAACAAGGCAAATGGAGACTTTGCCAGCTTTAATTTCTGTGTGCTTTACGGCAAGAAAGAAACATCGGCAACTAAATTACACCAATTTTAAGAGCAGGTTTTACACGTGGCAGTCAACCAATGTATCATTGCCTAAATTCTCAATATAGAAGAAACCTCCTTAAAAAGCACAACTTAATCTTTTTTTAATTAATTTAAATTAATTTATTAATTATTATTATTATTTGGTGTTCGTAACTAAGAAAAAAATGCACGCAAAAGGAAAAAACTAATTCAGTCTTTACACTGGACCTATTAAACAATAACGATTGATTTAACATTTTTATTATATATTAATTATTATTTGAAGAGTTCGTATCTGATATATCAATAATGAAATATTTTAATTTTTAATTTAAAAGATTGACACATATTTTACTTTTTAATATATTTAAATAATATGTGTCATTTATTAATTTTGTTTGTGAAATCTAATTGATGAGATAATTTCTCTTATTTTATTTTGAATATGTTATTATGTATTTATAAATTTAACTTATACATTATGTTGACTATATTTAATATCAAGTGGAGAAAAATAGTCAAAACAATTTGGCTTTGATTTTTTTTTTTTTTTGAGATTTCATTGGAAAACATTAGTTAATAATTAATGACTATACGTGAAAAAGTCCCAAGGTATTAAATCCATATTAAGTCCATCAATTTGGTGAACTAAAACATTTAATAATCTTATTATAAAAAAAACATTTATTGATCTTTGGTACTTCCTATTCATTAAAAGCAAAAAATTATAGAAGGGAAATGATGATAAATTAAAAAATAAAATGTTCTAAATAATTTGAATTAGACATATAAAATTTACATTATTTACACATATATTATTATTATTATTATTATTATTATTTTTGGATTTCGGATAATTTAATCTAACCTTAATCAAATCTTCTCTTCATCTAAAATTACCATGATTTTAATAAGTGTCATGTTTTTAGAGGAAATGTACATATATATATTTATTTATATTTATGAAAAATAATATATAATTACAAGTTGATTTTCAACGATTTTCAACATGGAAAACTCCAAAAGCGTTTGAACTTTCCTTTATTCTTATTCAGTAATTTATAATTAATTGTGGTTGTTTTAATGGTTACCATTAATTGTTAGAGAATGGTTAAAATGTTTATAATTTGTTAATAAAGTGTTGAATTTTTAATTTAAGTAATTTCAATTATCCAACAAAAATAAAAATATTTGACATACCAAATATTTACAAGAATTAAAATAAATGTTTATAAATTTATTATTTATTATGTTTGTGCCATTTCTATCTAGTCGAATGGTAGAAAATAGAAGAAAAAAGCATTATTCTAGTTTATAAAATAATTTGTCGTATTATTTGATCATTTAAGCATATATCGGAAGCTATCTATTTTAACCATAAAATATTGGAGTAATTTAGAAGCTCATACCAAATAATAAGCCGACAGCTTTTGGCTACCCAAATCATACACTGAAGAGTAGAAGATTGACACTCAAAAGAGAGAAATTAGTTTATTACCTCCTTTGACAAGTAATCATACGAAGATGAAGAAGAAGAAGAAAATGAAGGATTTCTTATGTTATCATCTTGCTTAGGAGAAGAAAAAAAGGGCAAAGGATGTATGTTTTGGTTAATATATAGTTCAAATTAAAACCAAACCCTTTTGCTTAATTAAATCATTTCCGAATCCAGAGCTTAGAATGATTGATTTATATAATCATTTTAAAAAAGTAACATCGAGTAAATTTAATATTTAAATTTCAATACTTAAATTTTGTTTTATTTCCAAATTGAGATAGCTTTTATAAAAAAAAAAAAAAAATTCCCAACTAAAGTCCACAATGTTAGGTTGCAATTTTGTTTTGTTAATTGCAACAAAAAGATGGATGATGATCTATTGAATGAAGAGCTTTGAATTTTTGAACTTCTTAATTTATTTCTTATATTTATTAAAGCTTTACTAAACTTTCAGTGAATCTTATTATATCTTTTTCTTAATTTTTTTTCATTTAATTTCTACTGTTATGTTCTCATGCATGACCAAAGTTATCATCAATAGTATCAATTTGTGCAATCATGTGATCGAAATTGACTGGATACTGTCGATTATAATATAAGCAACTAACATTAATTTGTAATCTGTAGGCACGATTTAGTTGGCAAGTTCGGCTAAATTTATAAGTAATTAATATTTCAAGACGGTATTTCATTAAATTGATAATTTACATGTACCTTATAATCTCGTATATCTAGTAATGTTAATTGTAATTATCTCATTCTCACATGAAAATACATTCGATATTATTCCAACAAGAGACTAGAGATGGCAATTACGATGCAGTTGGGTCAAATTCGGGATGGATAGTTTTAGATTTGGATCATAAAATTTCAAGTATTTTTTCATTTGGATTAATTGTATATAATTTGAGACAAATATATATATATATATATATAAAGAATGATATACTTATATCAATATAAATGTTACTTTTTTTTTATTCTTAGATCAAAATAATTAAGTGTAAGTATTATAAATTTAATTTTGATCAAATGATTGAAAAAAAAGTGTAACATTTACACTCATATAAATGTATCTTTATTATATATATATATATCAAAGATAATATCAAATAGAACATGAAATTTAACTCAATTTGTTCATGTTATCATTTTTAATAATTAAAATCTAATATATTTAGATTCAAATCCCAATATCGATGACCCTTTCCCTTATCCTAAACTGCAATCTTCTTTGTATCGAAAAAAACCAAATTTCGGATTTGTAGACAGGAAACTCCGAAAATCAGTGTAAGCCAAACACACACCCTCATTGATGAATTTTTCTATAACCAAACTGAGTTCTTACTCAACAATTTACTAAAAAAGGCGTGTCCTCGTTTATCTAGCACAACTCCTTCCAATTTGGGCCAAAGTTTTATTTATTCAAAGGTATGAATTGAAAAGCAGCGGTGTTAGTCGCGGCAGCTTCGGTTCAATCTTATTAGGTTATATGAGATTGAGGTCTTTAATTTCAGTTACAAATAAGATTAAAAAAATAAAAACATTCTTTAAAATTAAATATGTCAATTTATGTATTTGTATCGTATTTATTTTATATTAAATATGTGTAAAATATAAAATTATGATATTACACATCGTGTCCACATGTCAAAAATCAAATATATATATTTTTATTTTTATCAAAGTCACATTTTTTTTTTATAAAATGTTAAATCATGTTATTTTTATATATTTTTTATATTTATTATCTCATATTATCATATTATATTTAAAATTAACATATGCATTTTAAATTGTCTAAATTATTATAATTGCAAATTAATTGGTTTCACTGATTAATCTAAGCAGCTAGCCGCCTCCGAATCACAATGACATCTAAATATCTCCGTATCATCATAATCTAATTCTAAATCTCTCCGTATCATCATAATCTAATTCTTTATGTACTCAAAATGTGGTGATCCATGTTACCTTTTATTAATGAAGTTTAA